TCGCGGAGTTGACCCTCTTCTATTATCCTTCGTGGGTCGTAGTTCCCGGAATTTTTGTTGTTTTGCATCTGCTTTCATTGTAGATATCGCTTTACGCGGTGCTATGAAGAAGACGAAAGGCTTGCGATTTCTCGCGATTCGCGTATCCCTAGGTGTCTTAATACAGGGCGGGTTGAAATGTTTTAGTCTATCTAGATACGAAGTCGAAGTAAGGTTCTGTTATTAACAGCGCCATCACCTACTTAGGCTTGGTTGAGATGCATTTATTCTATCGAAAGGCCAATAATTAGACCGGCGATATAAATATCGATAGGAAGTATACTAACCTAGGCAGTTATAAGCTTGCTTTGTTAACAAAGCTACCAAGATAGCGATCAAGAGCATTAGTCATATATATCTCTTGGTTAGCAGATATCTCGAACTAGGTAAAACATGAGGTTAGGAGCAAATAGATTCGTTCTAGTCAAGTATTGTGAAAGGTACTTCCAGTTTAAAGAAAGTACCCCTCCTTTAGTCAAGTCTTGTATTATATGACGCAATTGGGAGCAAAGTTAGGTACTCTAATGCTATTTCTAACTAATAACAACAATATGAAACTCAAGTTCCTTGGTTGTTGCTCGCGATAATAAATACAACTCTGAACTCCCAACGGCGCGGTTTCCACTCTGTAGTGTTGAGTCTAACCTCGACATTAAGTGGTTCTCAACGATCTGGTAACTACCTAGTATCATTTTGTTCTTTCTTACATAGGTAGGTAGGTAGGTATACACTTGCACTACATACTTCTAATATATCTATATAGAGACCACATATATGGAGAGTTAGTAGGTAGGCCCTAGGTATATTTGGATATTGTACTTCGTAGTTAAGTGCTCATACATGGCTAGTTTTATACCCCTCTAAACAAGTCTTAGCGTTCATTCTCCCACCCAACTAATATATATAGTGTATAGATAACCTGCACGGCCGCGTTCGTTTACTTTGAGTGATCTGACGCGTTTCAAGAGACTGGCGTCTTACGAATTGAAATTCCATCAAACCATACCTCATCGCTTACAACCATATCAGACTGGTAGTGAGATTAACGGGTTATTACCTCATGAGAGACCCTTCCGAACCGAGAGATTATTTGGGACTTTTTGGTATGTATGGACGGTGACCTTGACAGCGTTGGTACCTCGCGGAACCTTGGTTTCAGTTGAACCCATTTCAGACCTGAGAGGACGAAGAGGTCTTGTGCGTCTACACCTAGGTTTATACCTATGTTGAAGAATATAGCCAGATAATTCGTTAAATTTATTCGCATATCAACCGCTTTTGCTTCCAATAAAATTCGAAGTTTGGCATTGGCAATCTAATAAGACTTAATGGATATACTACTAATTCTACCCGAAGAAATAACCCTGAAGGGATAATGTCGCGGTGCGTAAGTAGTATGAGACGAGCCATCGATTGTTCACGTAGCAGTTACATCAATATATTTATTGCTCACTATGGTGTATAGGTGTGTCAAGGTTCTACTAGGCTTAGATATTTTATGAGAAGGTATATTTGCCATCGGAATCGCGAAGTTGTGCTACCACCGCTGCCTGTTGGGGTCAGTACAAGAAAAGGAAGAGAGTACCTACTGTATGAACTTATAGTCGTGGAAGCGCTTCTCACAACTTCTGCCTGGCTTTAGGGTTGGAAGAACGAACAATATGTAAGGTATTCGAGGGGTCTAAACCCTTTGATAAGATTTATGTATGCAGGCTTCTAGACTATGCACAGACTGATGATTGGACATGCGAGATCAGACTTGCAAGCATAGCCACGATGTCATGCATTTGTAGACCGGGATGCAACCGATGATGACCATCGAGACCTTGTAAGCTAAAGTGTGGGATCTTGGCCGAGACGCTCAACGCACGCTGCCATATTGATCGATATACAGCCAAACAGCTTCGTCTCCTATACGCAAACGGATGAATAGCAACCAGAGAAGCGGTCAAGAAATGCACCCGAAGCAGCCCATATGTATCATATGTATCATATGTATCTGTGATGCTTCCAAAGCGAGGCTCTGCCTGTCCGCCCACGAATCACAAGAGTTTTTAGGGGCTATCACACGATCATCTTACAGGATGAATGCCGCAAGTCCGGGTCAACGCAGCGAAACGGAACGCCCAGTTCTTAGGCTTGTATAGGCTTAGATACCAGGAACTCGTCTCTTAGCAAACAGCCCAATTATATGCCAGTGGAATATAGCACAGAGTAACGGTACCGGAGTCTTTCCCCCGCTTTCACAAGAAAGTGTTTTATCTCACGCGGCCTAGATCTTTACTCGTTACAGACCTTGCGCAATATGCGAGTACGCGCGCAAATGAAGAAATGAAGAAATGAATCATTATTCCGTTATCTACTACGAGAAAAGCTTTGCCGAATCGTATTAAGTCCTTCGTAGTACTTAATTGGTGAGCGAAAGCAACCTGATGCTAGCTGACGCTGTTAGTGGTAATTCGACACAAGGATGACGGGATACGATTTTTCACATGTTCCGCCTACGCGTTCGTGTTCCGAGTTGAAAACTTTGTGTTCCTTTTTTTACGTCGGAGCTCAACTCGTTACAAGTGCAGTACAAATGCTGGATGTGTATATAAGGTTAGGAGGTACTTACCTAAATCAAGGAAGTAACCCGTATCTTACGCTACTTGCAACTGTACCTATGTTAAATTTCCCGTCTCTCAATAACGGAATAATTAACCGTTTCATTTGCACAAGTTTAGAAACCCCGCCCTTTTCTCATGGGATTTCAAGTTTCGGCTAACCGTCCAACCAGTCATATCGTGACTGACAATTGGCTATCTTACCCCCCCTTTTACTCCCCTTGCTACGCACTGTGTCAAGGATAGCCTAGACCTGACTTTCTCTTTACCTTTCTTTCATCATGACATAAATTCCTTTCCCCTCTTATTGCAGGCTTGTACCTGCGAAGACATATCATCCACTGCTATGCGTGCCGCCCAACTGTGTGCCCTTCCCATCAATCACTCTATCTATCACCAAGACCAAGGTGGATTTCTTTTTTTTCTAATTCCCTACACTTTACGCATTCTATCATCATCACATTGATTTATTCTAAGTTCCGCCGGAAATAATCTTGCTCATTTGAAATAAATCATTTCGAGGATAACTCTAAGAATCGGATGGTCAATTTTGATATACCTAGAATCCAGAAATTACTCGTCAACCTTTGAACCCGACTTGATCGACTCTCTATAAGAAATGACGGCCTTTCCTTTTTTACACGCTATTTCCCCCCCGGGGCTGTGGTGATGGGAAGCCGGAGTCTATTTCTTTGATGGCCTGGTAGAAAAGGTTGCAGGAAGTACAAGCATAAGCGGCTATTTTGATTGGCCCAAATTTGTGCGTTGTGGTCTTATACCTTTTTCGGATTAGTGTCAGTCTCGAGGATTGCCCAATACGCAATGCACTGCAGATGGGTTGCTTCCCTCTCTCTCCCCCAGCTTCAGCTTCTCTCGCTCTTGCGCACTCTCTCATCTCCCTCAATCCTTTCCTCGTCTCTGAGCTTTGCTTTTTGTAGCTAAGCGCAAATTTTTACTTGATAATCATATGGCCCATACTTTCTTATCGTTATCTTTTATTATTATTATTATTGTTATTTTTATAGGTACGGTTCACTAATGTACACAGGCATAACTGGTTGGTGTGTCTCAACGCTTTCCATTTGATTTCCTTCTTGCCTCCGCTCTCTATTCTCTTTTTCAATATCTCCCCGCTTTTTACTGGTTGCAAGTACCGCAGTTCTCACCAGCGTGATGGCTGGCCCAAGTGAGTTTCAAAGGGGCCCTTTTTTTTAGGTGGTTCCAGCACCAAAAATTCAATCTTGCAAAAAGAAGAAAAGTGGTCCCGCATAACCCGTTCTGAGCAGCAGCCACACAAGAGCGTGATGGGGCACTGTTGCTGCACCACAGCACTATTGTACAAGTACATTAGCATGTACTACTCTTTTTTTTACTGGCCTTCCCAGGCACTAATTTTCCCGTTTTCGCTCCAAAGCCAATTAGTGCTGGTGCTGTTGCTGTTGCTGGTGCACGCACCACTACTCAAAATTGTCAGAAGCTGCGGGTGCCCTGCAACGCTTCGCGCTACCTCTCCGCTCCGCTCTTGCAGGGCAGGCCAGTCCAGCAGGTAGGTAGTAGACAGGTAGGGTAGTAGGTAAGAGGTACCTAGCCAGGCCTAGGTAAGGTAATCACTCTCTTTGCTTGGTGCGCATTCTCGCTCTCTTTCCCACCCTGTCTACCTATTCTACTCTCTCCCTTCTCGTACTCCTCAATTCTCTTCCCGTCCCTCATCCTCAATCTCCTCGAACAAGTCAAACACGAATTACATCCTCCTGGTCCCCAAGCGTCGAATCTTTCGAGAAACACCTAAACTTAACTTAATTCCGAACTCGTCATTCGCCCCCGATCCGTTCCAATTCCATTCACCCCCGAGGCGCATTCTTTCTCAAGCCAAAGAAGACGAAAAAGCTCGAAATTGTCATTTCCTGTCGCCACGTCCCTTTCGCGACCACGTTATTGAATCTCTATTTTGCTATTTTATTCAACACACGCTATCGGGATACACTTCTTCCTTGATATTTACGATTAAACGACTTGACCTTCTTATCCGTCCTACGTCAAGACGTCGAGTTTTCTTTTGTTTCCGGGACCGTTCTTTGTCTGCTCATCTGCACCCATTTTTCGAGTCTGAACGTGTCGGGTCTATCACACAGCAACAACAACAATCCTCCCAACGCGCCGCGCCTTGGTCTGCAGCTCTCCGACACCGACGTATGATTTCCGTGCCAGTTCTTTTCGAATATTCGAGTCCCCGGAAGTCGACTACATCCTCGTCGGACCCGGATTCGTCGTCATGCCATCCGGGCTTCTACGATAAACCTCCATTTCCCTACGTAAACCTCGCCGATAATCACCTCGTGAGGTGCATGTTAGATTATGACAGACAGGATCTCATCCTTACCTACGCAATCGGTGACTCCGAGTCAGACGGTCGTACTTAGCCCAAAATCTACCCCTACCTTACCGAACTATGTCTCGAACAAGGTCCAGGGCGCGATCGAAGAAGAACCGTACACGATCAAGTGTATCTGCAACTTCACTGACGATGACGGGAACACTATATATTGCGAAATATGTGATACCTGGCAGCATATCGAATGCTATTATCCGCTCAACATGGACGAGGCCTTACGAGAAGATTTTGCACACTCTTGTGTTGAGTGCAAACCCAGACCGCTCGATCGCCAAGGCGCCTTCGACAGGCAACGACTACGACGGAGCAAGCCAAGTACATTGGAGGCGTCCGAACGAAAAGTCAAACGACCTCCCACTAAAACGACAAAAAAGAAAACCAGACCAACAGACCTTGGGCCAAGTGGCCAGATTAATTTCGATACCAACTTAAAATATTCTCAAGACCACCCACCCTCTCACCAACATAAGAAGTCCAAAAGCACACACCGACCTAGTCAATCAATTAGTTCACAAAATCCAAAACGCAGCCCTTCGTACGGGCAAAAGACTGGGAATCCCCACGGTCATCCGCCCAGTCCCGCCACAACACCTCCAGATCTTCCCCACGAACTTGAGATACAATATTCGAATGCTTTCTTAAACCTGTATAAAGACGACCGCGACGTGCCTATCGTCCAGACAAATTCTTTTGCTACTCTTTCTATATCAAACGTGCTATCTATATGGCTGCGGGATCACGATAGATTGAAAGCAGAAGCTGGGTGCAAATTTGACGAAGTTTTCCAGTCTCTACCGCCCAATATTGACTCCCTTAGAATATTACCTCGGATCGAAACTAGGAAGTTGCCCATTGGACCGGATACGATTGTACACTGGCAGCATCTTAGGACGTCCGAAACAATCGACAAGAACATACCTTTGATGGAATTAAATGGCCAAATCGGAATACAAAAGGACTACTGCGAAGATCCGGAAAATCGTTGGCAAGAATTAAGCACGCCGCTCCCCTTTGTCTTCTTTCATCCTATGCTTCCTATTTACATCGATACCCGAAAAGAAGGCTCTCTTGCTCGTTATGTACGACGAAGTTGTAAGCCAAATGCGGTGCTGGATACTTACTTATCTGATGGTTCTGAGTATCATTTCTGGCTAGTCAGCGATCGACGGATACTACCTTCTGAGCAGATTACGATCCCATGGGAGTTCAATCTTCAGAAGGACGTAGCGCGGAGGTGGGAACAGTTGCTCGGTCTTGGAGATGAGGAAGCAGGTGCGCAACCAGAGTATAATGAAAAAGAGACGGAGACATACCAAAGCATTGCGTCTTGGGTTCATGCTGTTCTTTCGGAATACGGTGGGTGCGCATGCGACTTAGGACCGGACTGCGCGTTTGCTCGTTTCCATCGAACCTATATACTCAAGCCGCAACAGCAATCAAAAGAAATCAAGGGTGTGAAAAAGAAGTCTCGGAAGGCCAAAGCAAGCGCCATTTCTCCGACCAGCACCGGCCATGCGACTAACAGCCGTGCCCCTAGTGAGGGCCACGGCGATGATGGTGCGGATAACGATTCTGGGTCTTCGCATAGCAAGCCTCCTAGCCGAGACATGACTCCAGCACCACGACAAGGCTCCTTTGATACGCTAGGCGTCTTAACAGAACTCACCGACAGAGATAAGCGAAAGGTCCAGATGGTTGAAGACTCATTCCGCCGCATGGAGCAACAGCAGCAACCTCCACGGAAAAAGAAAAGAACTTCCGATGGTTCTGGCAATTCAAACCCCACCTCAAAGTCCAAACCAAGAGGTTCGTTTAGTCATCCAGGAGGTCTTTCTAATGGGGTCATAGAACGTCGTTACGTTGACGCCGGTACTTCGAGGAGCATGTCTGGTTCTCCATCTAGCGCAGTATCACCACACACGACCGGCCATTCTAAACAGTACGATCCGCGCAACCTCTCAACGCAGGCTCTTGCGCGACATTCCTCTGAGAGAGCCCGACCTGAATATTGTGATGTTTCCGTTCAAACGGACCCGGTCGATGGTGAATGGTTTAGTGGTGACTGCCAAACGCCAAAGCCAAAGAGACGAGTCGTATCATTGTCGAAGCGTTTACTGGAATCTCGACATCGCTTGCGGGCAGATGAAGAACGAAAGAGAAAGATTCATTCTACCTCTCCCATTTCGATATCGTCCGCTACCGTCAAAATGGACCTGGATTCTCCTAATGTGGAGCACAATTTGACGGTAGTCCCTGAAATAGAAAAGCCGGATAAGCCAACGCCACCACGAGTCGATTCACCTGTTGACACATCAATGGAGGATGCACCAGTGTCGCCTACAGATACCAAGAGTTCTTCGGTCGTAGTTCCAGTAATACCTAAGCCGATAAAAAACAACTCGCCCGAACTACGTGTTCAAATGCCACCTGTCCCCGCGTTTAACGGTACGGTAGTTCCTAGTGTTACGACTCCATTATCTGCATCTGGGACCCCAACCCAGTCACCATTCTCTAGTAGTAATATACCTAGTCCATTCGCACCGGCGTCGGTTAACGGGGTTGCGGTTCAGCCTAGCCCGATCAAGAAGAAGCTGAGCTTGAGCGACTACACAAAAAGCAGGATGAATAAGGCAGCGGCAGCAAAACCAACAGGAGGCTCTTTGAAGCCGCCAAGTATTGTGTTGGAGGAGGCTAAATCACCAACGAGCTCGGATATTGCTACTATGGAAGCTCCTGTTGCTGATAAAAGCGCTGAATAATCGCTTCGACTAGAAGCGATATGTCGAGTCGGGAATACTTGTAATATACAGCGGGACGTCCAGATACTTTACAGCACCCTTTTGAGGCGTATCTCTTGATTACGTCTTAGCCTTGGGTCTTCGTATGGGGTACTAGGGTCTCTCGGAGCGGTGGACGTGCCGAATGGGTAACGTCATTTTCTACGTCAGGCGTTGGGGTAGGTCTTAAATGGGGGTATGGTGCGATCCACGATGAGGCTTCGGCATGAAGATCTTCTAAAAGATATCGGTTTTGTTTTTTTTATTAGATTCGGTATGAATCAAATTCTTAACGCGTTACGGCGCGAGGGGCTTCACACGGCTTGGTTTGGTGGGACTTTACATGAACAGGACTTGAACGTTGATGAGTCGGCTATTCTAACTGCTTAAGTTGTACCGACAATACGGAATGCAACTCTGAGGCAATCGGTAGTCATGAGGACTGGAATGGGGCGGAGTCCAAAAGGTGTAGAGATTCGTATGTCTATATGTACTACTACTTGAAGTCGAGATATTTGTGGCAGAGAGTAGGGAGCTTGATAGCTACAACTTCACAACCAATGTGACTAGCTCGGCTCGGCATGGGTTCCATTTCAAATGGAATATTAATGCGAGTTGGGGATTTATGAAAGATCACATTATGTCTTCTTAATTAACTATTCGAACTTACTGGGTTGCGTGCTGGCATATGTTCTATTATCTAGGGTGGCGAGTAAGCTCATTCCATTGGACCATCCGAGTTGTGCCTCAACGTACAGTAAGATGAATGGGATGACGGTCATATGATGTGGACTAGTTCCTTTATATCTCTCCCCGAGTTAGATATTTATAAGTAATTGATGAGAGAAGGTAGAAGATAGCCAGGATAAGAGTATGAGCAAAGTGGTAGTCATGAGGATAGTGGTGGTGAATGTTGGATTGGCGAGATGATGGACTTCCTATGGCACATGGTAAACAGTAGGGGAATATGGAACAGTTCTGTATCTCATATCGATGTGTCTGTCAGTTGTGTTATGATACCATAAATGGTGTTCACCTCTGAGTATATTTGATATACAGACATGGACTTATATAGTAGTCGATTCGGATAGAGCCGTATGATGTCTCTTCTATGACGAGGGACGTCATATATATGTAGGTACATATAGATACAGACAACATATGTCGGATTCACGCGTGGTAATAACGTGGAGTCTTAATTGTATTAGTCCATAGTTACCTATATGTACCTATGTAGTGATGTCTTAGCCAAGTACCTAATAGTACCTTTGCTGCTTCGAGCCAATCACCTTCAACTGACCTTAAATTCTCGCATGATGTAAGATATTCCTTCCAATGCGTAAGGGATAATGGATAAGCTACCTATACATACTAACCTACACTATAGACTACATCTTACCTGGGTACCTCGTATGTATACTTTATATACAGGCAGGTACATTATTGGATGAGACTCGTTATTGTGACTTGATCCGAAATAGATGGCTCTTATTATTGAGGTGAGACAGGGAACTAAGACAACACTATACTTTTGACTAGACGTACGACTTGACTTATCACATAGTTAGTACTCATCCAATCTGAACTGCATATAATATATGTACATATACGCATGTAGATCGGGAGGATCCTTCGCCGGGGTATCACTACCTAGGCCCTGGCCTTGACTACGACATGTATAGGATTTAAACCCTTGTTCGGGCGACTACTGCAGGTCTTAACAGGGTAAACATATTCTTGGGCTTGGTTTGTATAGGGTTATAATTCACGAATTAGGGAATACAAGATGTAGTTTGTTGTAAATCATCGATTACTATCGGTTCTTGCGTCTGGGCGAATTACCTAAGCCTATATACATGGTGTACCTGGAGTTTCATGGTTTGTACAATTATTTGCAACGGGTATGCAATGGGTATCCGCAGGAGTAGTCTAGTCAAACTTTTGACTAAACAGCGCTTCGAATATTTAGATTATCCTCCCTGAAGATGAGGAGGGCAAGTTTGTGTCTGACGAAAAGGCCAAACAAGCCTAATACTGTCTGCATGGCCGTGATCTCCTTGGCAAGTCTATCCTCACGCATCGGGCCTCTCCAGACTAGCCAGAGATTCAGAATTGTAAAGTTGCTGGTTTCCTCAATTAGACCCTGTTCATCCTCCTTGAGGCGTAATAACCTGAGCTGCGACAATAGCCGTAGGACTTTTGCGATGATAGGACGGGGTTGCTTGTCCTTTTCCCACTTGGTCAAACTTGGCTCGAGTAAGCCAGTTCGTGCGTTAAAGTGTGGCAGGCGGTGACGTGGGCACGGGATTAACCCGAATAGCTGGGGTGTGCTGTAGACAAAATTGAAGATCTGAGGGACCAGCAGCAGAATCAGAGTCTTCGAAAAATGGCCTAGGATACTAACCACCACGAATACCATGCCGGCGAAGTAACAATACGTGTCTCCACAGAAGACGCGGGCAGGATACCAATTGTGGATCAGCAACGCGAAACTTACACCCAGGAAGGGTAGGAGGAAGTAGAGGGAGAACAGATGCGAGTCCGTAGCTGGATGAGGGTATGGCGTGAGTAGATAGAGCGCATCGTTGAATGCAAGAAGTAGCGCAATGACAATACTCTGGCTAACCTCGATCCCATTGATTCCAGCAAGAATGTTGATGCTGTTGGGACTGAATATGGAAAAGGCTGACATGTATCCATAGTAAAGGAATCCGAGATCGAATAACTCGCGGCCGATATAAGGTTGGAGAAAGGTTGGAAGTACAATCGATGTAACGCCGAAGTCAATAAAATATATGACTAGAAGCGGGATGGAGGCAAAAGCCGGGATGAAGAATTTATGCCGCCAGCGGATATCGAATAGGTCGTCGCCAATTCCGAGAAGAGTGATAGACTGGAGAGAGATGATGGCGGAAAGGTAAGAGGCTAACTGTATAAAGATAAGAAGTTGTCAGTTTTGTGATTCTTAGCTCAACTTATTAGAATATCTCGTACCTTGCTATGAGGAAACTTGTGAAGCAACCTTCCCTGTTGAACAAACTCGACGTTCTTCACGACATCACGGTTACCACCACCACTAGTGGCCACCACGATATCCTTATAGAACGGGAATGGTATGAAGACAATAATGATCAATAGGTAGACCACAGCGCATATACCACCCATACATTCCGGTATGTAGTTGCTATTGTTCACCTTGGAGAGATCACGACCTTTCAATCCAGCTTTAATGAACGTAGGACCCAGCCATCGTATCATAGCATAAGAAGCAGCGAATGCGATACCACTAAGGGCTAGAGAGGCTACAAGAGGTTCCCCTTCACCCTCGAATGTTCGTATGAGAACGGCAACGCAAACTAATGAGAGACCAGAAAGGTATAAGGTCTCGGTGCTCGAGAGCTGGGAGGATTGCGCGGCGATCGGCATCTTTGCGGCTCAGGCATAACTAATTTGTCAAGTCAAGAAATCGGCGAGAGGAACCCCATTGTCCGACCTTTGGGTCACCACATTAAAGTAGGATGGTGTAGGATGGTGATGGAAGGTGCGTCGTGGCCTTAAGTGATGGTGTTTGCGAATTAAGGCTGGACGATAAGATAACCTGATATTGACTTTGGCGGATTAAAAGAAGCCACATTAGCTCAGAAATACGAAGTAGAAGTACACGTACACGCGACTTTAATGCAGCATTTACTGAAACGCACATGGATCTTGCCGATCGGGTTGTAACCAATCACGCGCTTGTACAATAAGTCTAAGAAAGCTTCAATTATGGGTCTTAGTACACCAACTGCAAGTAGGACCAGCATCATAAAGCAGCTCTTGCAAGTTTTTATGTCATAATAACCTCATCTAGTCAACTTTTATAGTTTGCTATCGGGCACGGGGGATCTCATCACCTGGCCGCATTTGTTACCCAACCTGTCGGTAAAACTGGCTGAAATTGGGTTCACAATGGCAGACCTCTTTTCGGCTTACGTACTAGAACAACTTAACTTAGCAACTTAGCAACTTAGCAATGGAATCTTGTTTGTTCACATCTTCTTATGGTCTTGGTTTGCTCTTACGGCTGCAAATTGGTAACCTCCTCGCATACCCTATCAAAAAATGAGGCCCAGTTAGCAAATTTTAGAATAATTTGCGGTGGTGCTTCTTAGTGATCTCATTACATATCAAATCTATGGCTTTTAAAGCTATGTCAGTTCTATACTACCTATCACCAATACTTAGATCTCTTGTGGTGTGTGTAAGTCTGTAGTTTGGCATCCTAGATGATAGAGCTAATCTCTAGCTTTAATATCGAACTCTATCCCAACATTTAAAACTTCAAACTACTGCATTGATCCTCACAAGCTTACAATCGACTTCCTTGCCGAAAGTAGCCAAGTATAGCCCACGCGAGCGGTCACGATTCCTGGCTCTTATGGATAGCCTGTCCCTATTCGAATGGGTAACCTGATCCTATACCTGCTGCAAGGGTCGGTGACCAGACGTCGGTAATGGATATCACTTGAAGCGCCGTCCCGATTCCTCGGGGCAGGAAGCTTGGGGTTCCGAGAAGCTTTCCACCTAAACCCCGGACTGATGGTCGAGAACCTTGTTATGTCTCAAGTTGGCTAGATGGCCCTCATCTTGTGCCCTTTGGTATCTATCTTAAGTCTGTCTCAGGTCCAAAACTGAATTCTTAAGTAACAATGCACCTACTTGCTGACAATAATGTTCTGGTTGAATTGGATCGTTTCGCTCCCTATTCTAATAGCCATCACTAATACCAGGTCAACTCTTGCTACTATGGCTCAGGATACTGAAACCGGAGCAGAGAACAACGACATTCCACCTGCAAAATCTGATGATGAGAAGGAATCTGAACCAAATACACCAGATAATGGACCCCAAAAACCAGAAGAGAGTAACAATACATTAAAACCAAACGAGGGTCGGGAAACTCGCAAACCGGATGAAATACAAGACGATGCTCAGAAGCAGGAAAATGATACGGATGAGAGCAGTCGCACTTCGAAGCCGGATGAGGAGCAAAGCGATTCACAAAAGCTTGGAAATGGAGCAGACGATAGTAGTCATACCTCGAAAACAGACGAAGAGAAGATGGACATACCAGTTGAGGTAACGCGGATGAAGCACCAAGTACGTCCGTCATTAGATGTAGTTCGCTTCTCGTTCGTCTTAGATCGAGATCAAATACGATCGGTCTATTCTACTGGAAAACTTATCCTTGATCGGGACCAGATGCGACAGGTTCGCTCTACAAGTGGCTTAGCGAGAGAGAACCCAGGCGGGCTCACACAAGTCGATAATGAAGAGGGTCAAGAGAGCTCGTCTACTCCAAAAGAAGACGTAATTGCGCCTACCGCCCTCCCGCTTTCTGACCTTGAAAACTCCATCGTTGGATGGGAGAGTCAAGATGACCCTAAGATGCCCTTGAATTTCTCAGCGGCTCGGAAGTGGGTGATAGTCTGGGCGCTGGCGGCGATTACTTTTATGTCGCCCTTCTCATCGTCTGTTCTAGCTCCTGCTATCGAATACATCAACAAAGACTTCCATAACTCCAACCCCACAAACGGTCCATTCCCTGTCAGCATCTATCTGTTGGGTTATGCTACGGGACCTCTATTCTTAGCTCCCCTTTCCGAAATCTTTGGCCGTGCCGGTGTGCTCACCTCTTCTAATATTTTCTTCTGCTTATGGCATATCGGGTGTGCTTTATCCCCTAGTCTTGGGCTATTAATAGCATTTCGATTTGCGGCTGGTATTGGAGGTAGTGGCTGTATGACACTCGGAGGGGCGATCATTGGCGACATATTTCCTATCGAGAAGCGTGGCATAGCTCTTTCTATCTGGGCATTGGGACCACTCGTAGGGCCAACAGTAGGTCCATTAATAGGTGCTTTCATTGCTGGATCTATTGGATGGCGCTGGTCATTTTGGATTGTGTTGATCCCGTCCGCTATTATTACTCTAATCTTGGCCATTTTCCTCCCCGAGACGAACCATAAGGTCCTCTTACAACGGAAGACTAAGCATTTAAATAAAGAGCTGAAGCGAACAGACCTTAAGACTTGCTACGATGCTGATGGGTCCGGAAAACTGTCTCAATTGACTATCCTGAGAACTAGTATGATGCGGCCACTGAAGATGCTCATGTTTGCGCCTATGATCTTTATACAGTCACTATATGTATCTTTCATTTACGGATCTGTCTACTTGATGTATAATTCTATCCCACCAACTTTCGAGACCCGTTACGGGTGGGGTACTGGCGTCTCCGGTCTGGTTTTCATCTCTATCGGCGTGGGTTATATGGCCGGCCTTTGGGCTTTCTCAATGATGTCAGACAGAACAGTAGTCCGCTTGACGAAAGCTAACGGCGGAGCATTCAAACCGGAGTTCCGCTTAACTATTATGATTTGGTACTCATTCCTCTGCCCGCTCGCCTTCTTCTGGTACGGATGGTCAGCTCAGATGAAGACACACTGGATAGTGCCGATTTTGGGCCTGTTTCCTCTCGGCTTTGGTGTGATTGGAGTCTTCATGCCTACCCAGGCCTACATCATCGACGCTTATCCTTCTTACGCTGCGTCAGGGATAGCTGCCTTCACCGTCTTACGCAGTGTCATTGCGGCTTTTCTTCCTCTATGCGGACCAGTGCTATTTGATAACCTAGGGGTAGGCTGGGGGAGTTCCGTTCTCGGATTTGTCGGCGTGGCTATGATCCCTATCCCTATCATTATCTTTAGGTATGGTGCGCGACTGAGAGAGAAATACCCTCTAAGACTTTAATGTTTTTCCTTACTACTTAACATATTTAGGTGGCCTCTGCAGTATGAAGCAGGCGCGTCAGCTAACTCTTATATAAAGACACGATAGGGGGAAAAGCACACAAATTATGTTGTATTATTTACTGGGTATCGATTCTTAATCATACTGCTCAGAATCTGATCTAGTCTGGGTATTTATCTATGCTACCCTCTGGCGTCTTGGTTATATATATGTATATATTTCTTTTATATCTAAGCCAAAGTTTTCGTTTCTTTCGTCTATGATACGAAATTTTATATATTTAATCATGACCTTTCATTTTTGAGGTATTAATCCATTGCACCGTAGCTTGCTTCCGCTTCCCTTTCTTCCCGGATTAGATGAAGCCTCTCCTGGACCATCCCAGCGGCTTCACTTTGCTGTAATTTTCGCCTAAAGGACCGACCTTGGATAACGACGTAAGCAGTCAGTGTTGCGCCAAGGATCGTACCGCCTGCCGCCATGATGGCGTTGATGGGTGTCGGATCACCTTGTAGCGGGCCGTGCGTCAGCACGTCAAGACCTGATTGTACGAAGTTAACGAGACCTGACAAGCAAGTAATAGTGCCATAGATGCGGCCAAAGGTTGCGAAGCCAAATATTTTAGTGGCGAAGTCGCTGACTGCGCTGTAGTACAGCGGGCGGAATAAAACGAAGGCCACTACTGTCGCGTACCCGGCCCATAGCTGGGGTAGACAGTTTAGTACCCCAATTACCACGATGAAGAAAGTTAACACGGCTGATGCCGTTGCTACACTTAGGTTGTTAAGCAATATTCCGATAAATGGCGTGGCAAAGACACCTCCTACGGGTAGTGCAACGTCGAAGAAGTGGTTGATATCCTCGGCGAGCCGTTCTGATCCTAGTAAATACCGGTATTGGCCGCGAATGGTAGCAATGAAATAGTTCATGCGCAGCATCTGTAATACCGTTAGTAACAACAGCAGTATAAACCACGTTGTCATCATCTGCCGGTGCGCTGGTAGGCCGTGTAGAATACCCCATATACCACTGGCCACCTGCCGCTCCTCTTCGGCCTGCACACGGTCCTCGCGCTCCGTCTCGTCACCCACTAATTCCTCGATCTGCTCGAGTTTGGAAAGACGCCGTTCGGTGCGTGCGCTTCTCACGCGCCGGATTTCGCCGGGGCTTTCAAGATCATCGTCTGAGTCGTGCACGTCGCGTGTCGCATCCTGTACTTTCTCGATCTTGCGCTCGAGCTCTGGCGTCGAGTGGTACGCTCGCGGAGGCATGAGCATAAATTCTCCGAGTAGAAGTAGCACGCCCACGATCGTGTACCCGAAGAAGAAACGCGCTGGTGTAAAGGTGCGGCCCGAAGACTCCCATGCGAGCCTGTAGAATAAAAATATAGCAGCGGAGCCGTCGAAGGCGCCTGTCACTAGCGCGACAATAATGCCCGAGTATCGCGGGAACGCATTCGCGAGCTGGAAGCTAGGAACAAAAACGAATGTCCCGCCTAGACTTAGCAATATGTTGGCTAGTAAGTACCCGTCAAACTCGGGGATCTGGAAAGCGAGTCCCATCAACACACACCCCGCGATCATGAATATGCCCGAGATAACATAGCATAAGCGACGCCCGCAGCGGTCGAGAACCCACCCAGCGACTAGGGACGAGGCATTAGTCGTTATAGAGGCGACGATGAAGAATAAGTTTAGACGCATGTCCTGCGCCGCGCAGGGCACCTTCTCGCTGCCATCGCCAACGCTGCTCTCATCGCGACCGTCTCGAGGGCAAAGGTCTTCGTATACACCCTCCTCGATTAATACAGGTTTGAGCGATGCGAAGCCGTATACGATGCCGGCGGCGAACCAGCATGCTACGATGGCGAATGCGACTTGGGCTAGAGGGTTCAATTAGCTTATACCCATTAGAGGATACGAGACCGAGGTCACTTACCTACTCTCTTTGCAGCGGAGACCTTATAAGCGGCGGTATTAGGTAAGATAGACTCTTGAGAGATAATGGGGGCAGCATTGTCGCCGTGGCCGAAGGCGTCGTAACTGAGGGTGCGCCATAGAACCTCTTCCTCTCTGTGGTCTTCATATTCTGGGGGCACACGGTCGATGCCCTCGTTTGCGGTGACGTGCTGGGCGAGCGACATGGCATTGGGGACCTCGGGGTTAAAGCTATAATAGGTCCAACACTATACTAATTAAGACCTGTGATCGAAAAAAGTGGTAAGACCACACTTCCCGCTTGAATAATAGACGAACTATCCAGGTTACCTATTTTCCCCTCTCGAGAACCCGGGAAGATATTTCTTCTAGGTACCTAATGTATTTACGGCATCTTTGGGTTTTAAGCGGCGGTCAACGTCTGTTCTAGAATCATGAGGAATGTATGCGATTATGCTGGAGTGTTGACGTCAGGGGATCCACGTGGGTTGCCGGCATACATATATACATATAACCCCTGCAGCCATACTGCAACAGTACATATAAATAGTTAGATGTATATACGCAGCTAACGTTAGGTAATAAATACTATTTTGGGATAGTTATTGTTTTGATTAAGTACGCTGTAACATTTTGATTTCAGCTTGTTACTTGAGAAGTGGTAGTTTGAGAAATTTGTTGACAGGATAGCGCTGCTGTTACTGCAAGTATTAAGAGTATTGATCTCACTATTATTAATGTCGGCCTCTCAGATACGATAATTATCCTGATATACAAGTAAAAAGTGATCTAAGTCCCCCATAATAATAAGACAGGTGGGGATACTTGATCGTTTGGCTAGATTGTGACTTTCAGCGGTTATGTGTTCGTAATATAAGAGCTTGCTGAGACACATTTCTGAATTATTAAGTGACGACAACCCGTGCTGAGATATCTGGAATGGGCGAGCGTAGAATTGCGACTCCTTGCGACATTGAGAAAGGAGTCAAACACGAAAAATTTATGCATAATTTGGTTGATTGACTCTATAAGACTAAGGGGTCCTCTAAACCACGCCACCCAAGGTATTCTATCCATATTGTGCGATATTGTTTAATTATATTTGTTTATTTCGATGTGGGGTATCATGGTATTGTGAGTTTAGATCTCACATGCAGGCCCTTCAACCCATATGGATGGGCGGGGCGGTCATCCTGGCTTTCATCATACCTAGTTCTGAGCTCTTCGCCCAAGACCCGTCGGGGAGTTGTCGGTAGCATATTAACTTGCCCTCATCTCCGACGCTTCCTAAAATTTGACCATCGTCGTCGAAGTCTATTCTCCATACGGGAGACCGGTGAGCACTGAGTTTAGATAGTAGCTTAACAGTGTGGTGGACCTGTCCCGGTAGATCGGTTGAGGTACGTTCTCCGTGAGTCCCGGACTTGTCGATCTCGGCTCTTATGCCGGAAGGAGCTTGAGAGGATCTACGGAGATGACCACTTTTAGAAGCAGTGTTTTCGTCGGCTTTTGTACTACCTAGAATATCCGCTAGGGCCCAGGACTTGCCATCGTCTTGTGAGAAGGGAGTATCAACCCGGAACACCCGCACGAAGCCATCTTGGCATGCAGTAGCTATCATGTCGTAGCCCCTATAGTTTCCGGGAGCCCAGGCGACGTCTCGGACTAAGTGATTATGATCTCCGATCTCAATAGCTAGGTAGAACTGTCTTTGTCTTGTCGGGGCGCCGAAGGAGCTGGCAACAGTATCACGAGTTCTAAAGATTTTTACCGAGGTTAAGCCCGATACTACTAGACTCAATGCATCTGCTGGTACGCCGGCTCTCAGGGCGTTGTAGCAGGGCTCGGGATTTGGGTCGAAGCGAACTTTAAAACATGTTTCCTCTCCACGATTTGGTTTAGTACAAGTCTGGAAGTCATCAGACTTTGCATAGTCAGTTAAAGTCTCGGGCTCCTCGCCTTCGAATACTGTGAGATGGCCATCTGAGGCAAGAAGGGCGACATATGTAGACCGGGTTACTTCATCGTGCTTGACCGAAAAGGATCTATATGGATACCGGGCGGACCTCAGCTCAGAAACATTCTTGCCATTCCCGTCCCTCGCACTGAAACGTCTTCCCGGGGCAGCTGAAGGGTCCTCAGCCCATAGTCTGAAGCGGCCTTCTATACCTAGGGAGGCTAGTAAATTAGGATATATGGTGGGTGGCAGCCATTGAAGCTAGACAAGCTGTTAGAAGTATGTTAAAGCTAGACAATCACATAAATCTAGCTAGCATAGCCACCATGCTACCAAAGATATGAATTATCCAAATTTAAGAGAAACAAACCTCTAGAATCTCGCCTGTGTGAGCTTTCCAGTTGTCGCACAATCTCCAAATGCCATCTTGGTGTCGATTAAAGACGCGAATCTTCCCGTCTACACTACCCGTGGCGCATCTGTCACCGTATGCGTTGAAAGCGATTGCTTGAACTAAATCCTTGTGGCCGTGTTGGACGATATCGAAAGAAGTGCTATTCTCAGCTGTATTATCTTCTCCAATCGGTGAAGGCCCCATTATAATGCCTATGACGCTGTCGTCATTGCATATCCAAGAGCTTGAGATATAGGGCACGTAGTTGTTGTGAATTATTGTGAGTTGTTGTAGTAGTTGTTGTAGCTTTGGTGGGGGCGAAATGAAGCTTAGAAGCTTAGAACGGATTGAGGTGAGTTACCGGGGTACATAATTCTTACATAATTGTAGACTCTTTATAGACATTTAACCGGATAGGACGATTTGTATGCTACGTTAATTGATATACCATGACTAATGCAAAAATAGGGGTTTCTTTGAGACGAAAGAAAAATAGGAAAACAAATACCTGCTAACAATAGACACACACATAATTCTTAAAGGAAGCTTGAATATTACACGAGCTACTTCGTTTTCTATTTATTTAATATACCATTTCTAGATCTCGTAATTCCACTAAAGTATTGAGTATATATACAGTGAATCAAAACCCCGGTCTCCACCTATTTAACTAGGCCTTAATAACGTAATCTTCCTTCTTATAGGTTCTTGAGCTCACGCGCGTGACGCCGAGCATGACGCTTGCGGGAGCAAGTCTTCTTCGGTGTTGTGGTAGCGGGCGAACTGGCAGTCGGCTGGGTGTTGGCGACAGCAGTAGAGGTGCTACTAGCGACGGGAGAAGTAGCTGTAGGAGCAGTTGTAGTAGGTTGAGCCGGAGTCGTGCTTGTGCTTGTAGGAGCAGGAGCAGGAGCAGCAGAAGGCGAGGAAGCATTATCGTTGTTCGACGATGATGACCCATCAAACTTCACTAAAGCAGGTCCAGGAATCTTGTAATCAGCAACCGACGAAAGCTTCTCGTCATTGTAGATGTTGTGTAAGATTCCGGCGTCGGTAGAGGTGTAAAGCTGTGTACCGACGACGCCATCCGGAGACTGGGTACCAGACCCAGAAACCTGGAGGTTGATACACTGAGGATACATCTGCGCCTTTCCTTCGGTGCCAGCCTCGTGTAGAGCAATGAGCTCGTGACGAAGAACGTAGTTTCCAGACTTAAGTGAGCTAGGAATGGTAACCTTCCAAGTAAGGCTATCCTGGATTAACACATCATCGGCCCACTTGCCGGTTGTGCCACTGCCGGCACCCAGCTCGAGCTGGCCTGCCTCAGCTATCTTAAACCACTTGAGAGTTGTCTTGTCGACAGTTGAGCAATCTCCACCGCAGTCTGCCAGGTAGTCAATGACCGGTCCTTTATGAGAGTCTGCCCATTGGTTCCAGGTGAGTGAGACCTCGCCACCGGCGGCGACAGGTGCAGACAAAGCAGCATTTGTAGCATCCAAGTGACAGATGATATCGGGGTCTTGGAGTGCCGATGAGAGCACGAAGCCGTTGTCTTTAGCCCCGTTGCTCCAAGTAACACTGTCCGGCTGAGGTCCGAAAGGTGCAGAGGTAGGATCGAATCCTTGGTAGGATTTGCCGTCGATAGTCACCTTGGTAACATGACCATGGGCAGAAACAGAAACGGCACCGGCAATGGCAGCCAATAAGCTGGATGTAAGTGCAGAAGGCATATTGAACTTGGTTGTTTATGATTCGTGAATATAGACTGTTTGTTCGTGAAGGCCGACTTGCGGTAACGAATGTGAATTGACTTCAAGTCAAGTATAAAAGCAGTTTAAAAGAATGAACGTGATGAAGTTAGCTTCAAGAGAATGAACGAAGACTCGTGATTAGTCTGATGAACCAAGAGAAACGAAATCAGGTCGAGAGAATACTTTCCCTCCTTATATTAACTTATTCGAAGCCCTACCCATGTCTACTAAGAGCCGCACTTTGGTCTTTTACAGTAACATCCGGGAAGACGAAGATCATGTCGATCCACCATAGTGTTGGGACGGTGCTATCCACAAACATACTAAACAGGGTTCAGGTATAAATGAGTCCTCGAATTGGTGGAATATCAATTTGCCAAGGAATACACCAACATTCTGAGTTCAAAATAAAGGAGCTGACTTTATGGTCTTGGTTAGGTGAAATGAGAACCACGGAGATGGCTTGTTAGAAGGTTTCATATGCGGCGCGAAGCAGGGGGTTGTTTACTCCTGAAATTCTGAAATCAGCCTTAAAATTAGCGCAGCGTGTTGAACGAAGATATTAGGAACTAGGAACGACTAGGTCCTTATGCATGTAAACGCTCTAGAACTAACGCCATCGCCGGCCATGAAAACTTTTGACGGAGTAGACTGTCGTTTGAGATGAACAATTTTGGTGAAGTGACTCTTGGCGCACGCGTCACTAAAGATAGCAAGGGGTATATTAACCCCTGAAGCTGATCACGATGCGGGGCGATTTTCGAGGGGCCGCTTCTGAGATCCACACTATCGACATCAGATTATCGCGCCACGTCCCGAATATCCTAAATTAAAGAACTAATAGAGAAATCTCAAACATGCCAAGTCCTAGTGCTTTTATACGGGGGATCTCGCAATAGGGTCACTCAATTTTAGACTATAGAAGATATACTAACGCTTGCCTCGAGGATAAACATGTTGACTTAACTATACATATAACTACTAAGTTACTCAATACTAACTTATAAGGCATCCAAGGTATTAAAATCACACAAGCCGCTTAACACCATCGCATATCATATCCTTATAAATTATCTGTGAACTAGATAGTTATAGCATTCGCAATTTCTTAACATATCCTAAAGAAGCACTCGTATAGTAGTTTAGGTACTTAGTGCCTTTTACATCGAAATAGATACATCTATATAGTGGAAATATCATTAGTGCACCAACTCAAATTATCGTTAACTCAAAGGATCAGTCCCCCCCAACGCCCGAGCACAATACCCCTGACGTAATCCTTCAATCATGGCTCCTAGCTCGCTTGATGACAACCGAGGCGCTCAAGTTTAACCCCTTTCCCTTAAACTAATTTCATTTGTTCTTGATTGTACGGCTAACAGGAGTAGTGCCTTGCCTCTGAGAGTAGAGGAGATATGCGAATACAGCCGCGGCCAAGGTACCCAGAATAAAGAAATTGTCTACAGCGAATTAGTATAGACGATAAATAGGAAGTGAGACGAGGGACGGCTAGACTTACGGATTGCGAAGCCAAGAGTGCCTTCAACGAAGCTGACAAAGGCTTGGAATAGACCAATAATTGAGTTGAGGATCCATTGGAAGAAGTTTACGACAGCTCCTAAGAGACCTTGGATGACTTCGACGATTGATTGAAAGAAGTGACCGACACCCGCTGCGAGACCCATAATGGCGATTTAATTTTTGACGAAGTTTATTTTAGTAAATAGTACCTTTCTATCGGAAGTAGGATTCAAATTGAGTAGGTTAGTTGATAGTGTTTATTTAATAATGTTGTGGCTTATTAACTACGGGTCTCTACGCGGTTATGCGTGTTCTTATAGCTCTTCAAAGAGCCGCCACACTCCAAACTACGTCACCGAGGGAAGTATAAAGGCATGCAATAACTTTCAGAATCCGGACAAAGAAGTTGGATTTGATGGCGTAGTATTAGACACTCGTGACGCTTGTCTTCGCCAAGGTTCACGTAGCTACGTAAAAGTCATGACGTCAGTCTCTTAGATTGGGAATGACAGGTCGATGTACGTTATCTCATTGGTTGAGCCTCAAGGTCCAATCATATCATGCTATTCTTCATAGTACTCCTTTTACTGTAGAGAAATGCAGAGTTATAAGACAACAACCCAATCATGGCTATATTTAAGTAGAGGTAAACATTTCTAGTTCCCTTTTAAAATGCGGAAATATGTTGAAAAGAGTAGGAGTAAATCATGAAATTACTAGTACACTAGGTCTATGGCATAGAAGATAATGAATATTAAATATTCTAGAAACTCATTCAGTGGCCTTTCAATAGACCGATTTCTTCCCGTTGGGCTAGGTTGAAACCCCTGAAGAGGAGTTATCATAGTCTATGAAGAGTCGGGAATAAATAATGCTTTTGATATACTAATCTTATCATCTTTAAGAAAAGCTGCCCTCGAATTTGAACACCCATCGGCCGTATAAGAGCTAGTGATGTGGTAAATTATTTATTGCAAAGTGCTCTTCGGAACTAGTCGATTTGTTAGGTATTAAATACATAACTAGCATGACATATAAGTGGCCAATGCTGGATAAAACGAAACTATACAGTAATGGATGTTAAGAGATATGTCCTTGGACCACCCCGGAACTCTGCAGCGAAGAGCAGATTTACATAGAACAGCTGCCAATATCATAGTAATTTAAACCCCCCCTTTTACTCTCGAGACACTATGATCTTACTACAATAAAAGAACTTACTTAGTATCTTGGTCATTGAAAAGGGTAGACAGTTAAAATTGTGCACGCATTTTAAAATTCCTCTTAAGAGATATTATAGCAATTCTATTACGAGAATTAAGAAAGTTTTATGAAGTCATATTGGCCCCTATGTAGTCCTTTGCCCTGTTATCTAAGGCATGCATAAGTGCGCACATTATACAGCATTATGAGGATGAATAGCGGGAGTTTAAGTACTTGATGAGTAGTACAATCCTATTAAGAAAATACGTTAAAACAATGGTATTGATATAATATCTTAAATGGTTACTCGATCAATAAGCTGTAATATAGTAACTATCTAAGTTAATCAAAGACGCCATACGATAAAATAAGAGCGTTATTGGGTATCAATCTGGCCACTATGGCTTGCGCTTCTAGCATCTATTGTAGAAGAGCACGTATACATCTAAATCATTCATACAAGCGTTGCATATATCCAAAAGGAACTAGTGTAATAGGAGAATAAATACCTAGGTTCACAGCTCAAGAAGATTGGTCTCTAAGCCGGAATCTTAAATCCAGCTGCCCTGGCGTGGCTGTGAACTGATCTCTTAAATCCGCGAATAACTTCTCGCCCTTATCATCGCCCCAGAACTCGACTTTGAACTTCTTCACGAGTAAGGCGATGACGAATCGCATCTCGGTCATCGCCAGGTTCTTCCCAACGCAGCTAAACCGGCCTTGGGAGAACGGGGCGAAGCCACGGGCATCCTTGATCATTTCTGGTCGCGTGGTCCAGCGTTCGGGGATAAACTGATCGGGTTGCTCATATGAGGAGTCAAGACGCGCGAGAGAGTATCTGGGCGCAACAATCGTGACATTCCCCGGAATATATACGTCGTTAATTGTCATCCCATTTGGGGGTGATTGGCGGTATCCACCAGTAGGTACTGGGGGGTATAGCCGCATTGTTTCGTTTATAAGGGCAGTGAGGTGGTTGCAGTTCTGGAGCTGTGACTTGTCGTAAATATTTACATCCTTGAGTTCGGAAAGTAGTTTGTCTTGGTGACACGGGCTGCGAGCAAGCTCGTAGAAAGCAAAGACGAGGGTTGGGGCGATAGTATCACTAAAGCTACCTGTTAGTAAAACGAGCCAAATGATGATACGCTCGTGCCGTAGACTAACCTTCCAGCAATGATGATGGTGACGGCATCACCGTTCAGCCAATCACGGTCAGCTTCCAAGGACCCCTTTTCAAGAGACGCCTCGATGAGCCAGTGTGAGACATCGGGCCTCTCGACTTTCCTCTATTTGCTTGTTAGAATCTTCAATATGAAAATGTAGTAGGAAGAAACATACTGCTATCCGTTCGCTCATGCGGTCCCTACACCATTGCAGCATAGTAAGCCAATCCCGAATAATAGATATCCAGGGTGTGATATAGAATGCGATTTGAGCAATCCATGGTACCGGACTAAATGGCCCTAACAAGCTCATAGCCCTCCTCAGTAAGCGAACTGCGAAGTGCCACTTCTTATCCTTCAGCATGCCGAATGATTGTGCAAAGGCAAATTCGCCCATGACATCAAATGTAAACCAGTAAAACCAGTCCGATACATTGACGGGGGAATCTGAGATCGCAAGGTTTTCGATCTGAGATGCAAGTATTTCTGCATATTCCATGACGCGTTCTTCGTAGATGGCAAGGGCTTTATTGCTGAAGCCTCGGTCCCAGATACGTCGTCGAGCATCATGCTCCTTTATGTCTCGGGTTGAATTAACTGCGAGTTCAGGAAGCAAGAAGTCGTACCAGACAGCTTTGGTACACTTATTCCTAGGTCCATCAACAGCGGGGGGGACAGCAGCGTCGATGAATGTGATTTCCTCCGGGCCTGTCCGAATAACTGGGCCATACTTCTTGCGCAGCTCCTCAATGACGAGGAAATTCTTCCCCGTACGACATTGCCAAACGTGCCAAAACTTCGTAGCTCCTGCTAGCCAAGGACCAGGGAAATGTCGTAGTCTGTGGAAGAACTTTCGATATACGACGATGCTAGTGAATAGCGCAGTTGCATATGAGCTCACTATTAGAGAAGTGATCTTGAAACTAGTGTTAATGTCCGCCCCGAGTCGCTGCTCAACGAAAAAGACGACGAAAGCGAGGAAAGAGTAAATGGTAAAGAGTGTAGGTGCTTGCATATGCCATTCACCTCGAATAAAGAGAGCAGAATGAGAGAAAGCTCCCAAGGCAGCGGCCCCTAGGCAAACGTAGCCGGTCGTAGTCGACAGCATACTAAGAGATCGTGCCAAGAGAAGGCGTCAGAACTCATTAGTGAAGGAGAAAGATGCAGGTCGGGAAGGCATTCCTGTAGAAACTAATCTAAAAGAAAGACTATATAGGTACCTACTCAGGTAGGTAGCTAACGGATGGGGAACGGTATCCGCCAGGAAAGAAACCCCCTATCTCTGACAACTCGGCATTGTAGCCACTTTTACTGGCGTCAGCAACTCTTTCAAACATACCGGAACATATCCATCGTATAACTTGGGCAACGTGTCATGCTACCTACCAACTAACAACTTGATAAAGATCCATATGTATACCTAGGTAGCTATTATACAGGGGGAAATAAGGTTATTTTCGGTACCTGTAACCCGTTACATCGATCCTACGGCACTTAAGCGCCTTAGTAATACATCAGGAATGGCCTCACTCGATTATCCACTCCATCCTCTCCATCCTAGAAAATAGCAAATCCCTTTCTAATCTAGTCTAGTGCGCTGAGATAGTCCGAGAGCCTGAGTCCTATTATTGATATTGTACATATAATGCAAGTACTTGTGCTGTCTTTGTATACTCGATGACCGCACCCTGAAAGGTGCTGCGCTTTAGTTAGGAGTTGGTCTTATAATTGGGGATTAATCTAAAATACTTCCGAGAAGGGGGGCTTTCTATATATCCTAAAGGTACCTATTTTCCAACATTCATCCATTTTCATAACATTTATAATATTTTATAAATCCTTTTTTCTTTTTTTTAGGATTTGATGAAAGTTGTAATAGCTTCTTATTTGCTCTAACTAACCCTTATAAAGCTATCCCTAATTAAAAGGGTATAAACTTGGTATAGTTTAGTCACATCCGTTAGTTACATCAACTAAGTACTTCATGTAAGGTATATTTCTGAAAAGGCTTCGTATAAAACGGTAACCTAACTGTCCTGTTTTTATTTCGGAGAAGTGGATTAAACGGTCGAATTAGTTGGGACCCTTACATCGGGTATCACCTGCAGAAGGATCTAGCGTATCCAATCTACGGTCTTATGTAGTGGCAGGGATAAGTTGGGGTCGCTACGGACATCGTTCCATTCATGTCGTGGAGTAGTAGTACTTTATTGCACATGGAAATAAAAATCGATATCTGATATAGTAACCCTCTAGTTGAGTCGATCGATTTACGGCACGGCGATTACATTTTAAATCGAATTCCTTCGCAGTCTCGTTCGATATCAGAGACTAAGCTGATCCTTACCCCCAGTATCTTCTCCTCCACATAGCCCCCTGAGTTGTCCACTATCATAACAGAACATGTCTAAACCAGTATTTGTTCTCCTCCACGGTGCTTGGCACAGTCCTAGGTGCTGGGATAGTCTTATCACGGCACTGGGAAAGGCTGGCTACTCGGCTGTTGCCCCAGCCTTACCCTCGTCGGGATCTACGCCACCTACACCTGACTGGACCAAGGACGTTGAAACTATTAGGACTACCGTCGAGGACCTCATCCAAGAGAATGATGTTGTCGTCGTTACGCATAGTTTCAGTGGCATGACTGGAGGTACAGCCTTGGAAGGCTTGGACAAGGAGACACGTGCATCAAAGGGATTGAAGGGCGGCGTCATACGACTGATTTACATCACGGCTTTCCTCGTACCGGAGGGCTTCCAGCACTCGGCACATGGAACACGCGACAACATGGTACCGGAGATGAAAACTGATCTTGACGTAAGATATCACTTATTTCGATATCCCTTTATTCGACGTGTTCTAACTTCTGATGTCTACTAGGCTGGTGTTATCACTGTATCACCCGAACATGCTAAGGATATGTTCTATCAAGATCTAGATGACGCCACCGTTGCCGAGCTCGTCAAGGACTTGCGCCCTCAGAGTTTTGGGGCGTTTTGGAGTACCACGACATATGCTGCGTGGCGCTATATTCCGACTACATACATCTTGTGTCTAGGAGACAAGCCATCGACCGTGGTTGCTGCGCGATACCTTATTGACACGGCAAAGGCGAGCGGACCGCACAAGATCGAGAAGGTTGTCGAAGTCGATGCGGGCCACTCTCCCTTCATTAGCAAGCCCGAGTGGACTGCTGAAGCACTCATCGCTGAGATCAGTGGGCAAGCTTAGGTAGTCCAGGGGCTAGTCTGGAAGTCTTTAACTGTTATACTGTAGTTCTAAGTGTATTCAATAAAATTTAGGTATTTGGTTCGCATCAAATAAAATATCTAAGAGGGGTTCGCTCTATTCAGCTATATACAATCATGGCTACTCAAGATATCATTTTAACGGTCGCTGTCCGACAACAGTCAATCTCCCTATGTTATAAGCCAGCTTCTGCCTGTTCTGAAAGACCTTGAAAATCAAGTCTCTGCACCGATTACCAGAACCGTTGCGCATTGGGTCCAAGGCTTTATAACTCACCTCCTCGGATGCCATAAGCGCTGTATCGAGCTGGAATGGTAGTAGCTCTAGCGGAAATGGACGGTTATTGACTGCAACATTGGTAAGTCCGTTCTCCTCGAAGAATTGCGGCAACCTGATCGGCCAGCTGTAATAGAGCTTAGTAAATGTCCGTGCTGTGATATATATTAGGTATATTACTTATCACTTACTCGTCCGCTGTCCAGTTTGGCCTTGTTCCACCTATTGTCCCAATCATCTCGAGAAGGGCAGTTAGGTTATCCTCGACATCTTTCCCCTCTTCTGTGCGAATGATCTTGAAGGTGCTGTAGTCCATCTCTCCCCAAGAGATCCATCCTCCAGGCTCTATCCTACGTATAAGTAACTATATCGTATTTAATAAGGTGAAACTCACGGAGAACATACTGAGAAGCCCGAGTAAGTTCCGTATTATAGGCGCGGGATCATTATTGTGCACCGCAAGATGGAAAAGTTGAATATGAACGATATCATACTGTTCAAGCAAATTCTCAGGCAACGGACCCAGACAGTCCACCTTGTGTACAGCCACATTAGACGGCAGCCATTCTTTCGGTGGACACTGCGTTAAGTCGATGTCAAACCCATCGATTTGAGCCGAAGGAGGAAGGTATCGTGCCAAGTCGACTAACCAAATCCTACGGGAAGTGTTTTAGCATCGCCTCTGCGGTCGCGGGCCGAGGGAAAATACCCAGTACCAACACCTATCTCCGCCACTCGTAGGTTTTCAACATTCGCCGGGATGCTAGGGTGGAGAGAGAAGCCGGAATCTTTCCAAAGAAAGTATTGAAGGTTCAGCCTGGTTCACATATTAACCTATATATCAAGATGACGTCTGGGTTTTCAGCTACGGTTTAATATACCTGGCATTTGCAGAGAAATTCCGCCCAAGAATGTATGCCTCGTGCTCCATGATAATCTAATAAAAAGTAAAATAGCGATAGTAGTAAGTAAGGGGCTTGGTGTTGGGAATCAGAGCTAGTCGAACGCGATGTCTGGGAGGCGACTATGCAGTACCCAGAACCTCGCTGGCCCCCTGATTAAACTACATTTGATTTATTTTCAAGTATATACCACACCGAACTAGAGCAGCATGTAGATCCTAGTTGCACGTTTTAGAGTAGAGAATGTAGGGTTACATATGGAAATGCTACGATGTAACCTATAGTAAGCGCTGCAGGAGACCCTCGTAAATGGGACTTATTAGTCTATTAGCTTATACGCATGGCACAGCTCTTATATCGCAGAACGCGCCTATAACCACGAATGAAGGTTACGGTACTTCCCCCTCATCAGCTTACCTACTACCATACGGCATAGAGATCAACTTAGTCGGTCCGAGGACGCGGGGATCCTACTAGTAGATATCTCTTCAGCCCTCCTCGCGCCTCGCGCCTGTGTAATCACTCACGCCCACGCCGTTCGTTTCTTTTTTGTCATCAGCAAATTTGTTGAAATCGTCGCAAAAATGGCGCCCTATACACCGAGCATGCGATTCCCTACCGCGGTTCTCGTGGTTAATAGTATCGGTCTCGCGATCTCGTTTGCCGCAGTTGGATTAAGATTCTGGTCTCGTTCTTTACGACGAGTTAAGACGAGACTTTCTGATTATACGATCGTTATTTCGTGGGTGAGTAATACTGTATAGCACATGTCTACGAATACACGGTTGACCATCTATCTCTCTTAGCTATTTACCCTTGGCCTCGTTATTAGTGAGAATTATACCATTACAAAGGGAGGAATAGGGCAGAATTCAGCCGATGCGTCTCTTGAGGAGTTATTATTCTCTACCAAGGTATGCCTAATATTGTTAGCAGCTTACTGAATGTTTAATGACTCTGGTTATAGCAATTCTTGGTCATTGGAGTATGTGGAACGTTAGCAGTGACATTCGTCAAGATTTCAATCCTTGACTTTCTGCTTTCCGTCTTCGCAACTAACAATGTCTTTCGCATTGTCGATTATACCCTGATGGCAATTACTAGTGCCTATGGAATTAGCTTTACCATCGTTACTCTGGCTGGATGTCGGCCCTTCGAAGCCAACTGGGATAAACTATCACATCCGGATTTCCAATGCATCAACACGTCGCACTTCTATGTCGCCCAGGGAGCCATCGGAGCTGCTCTGGACTGTCTAATCCTCTTACTCCCCATACCACTTGTGTGGACTCTCTCTATGAAGACGAATAAAAAGATCGCTTTGACTTTTCTCTTCACCATTGGTATCTTGTAAGTTTTATTCCTATTAGTTATGGTATAAATGAGGAGCAGAGGATTAATAGAGCGGAATAGGATCTGTGCTATCTCTTTCGTCCGTCTCGCATACAACACCCAGCAAGAGTATATGCTCACTCACTTTACCGAATACGGCGGTATCGCGACGCTCCTCGGCGCCCTGGAAGCGAATTTGTCTATTGTCTGCGCATGCCTTCCAGCCATGCCCCAGTTATTAGCTGCATTCGCAGAGAAAATAAAGATGTCGCTAGGATCTGAGAGTGGCGGATTAAGAGGACTTTTCAGCAGTTTCTCATTCGGATATCGTAAAAATACTCATGGTTCTGTCAAGCTTAGCGAGGCGAGCGACAAGAAGGAAAACGCGTCATCGTCGATGGACGATGACGTAGAGAAGGCTCGGCTCCAGAAGCATGTGGACAAGCTGTACCCGTTGAGCATGACGGGCGCGAGCCGGGGTAGCTTTGAAGAAGAAAGGGCATGGACGCAACAGGTGGGCCGAACATACGCCCGGGTGAATACGGCCAACTCCGGCCACAGCGAGGAACCGGTAGAGATGACAAGGCTAGGAGAAAACGTTGAACCATACAGCACTATCAATGTAACCAAGAGCTGGAGGGTTAACTAAAGGGGTTAAGCTTACCACATTGATGTGTATACAATTTACATGTACATTATTACTCTGTTCGATTAAAGAGTTATTCAATGGGTCCCGATGGGTTAGTGGTATACGAATATTATGTCAAAAATGGTATGGTGTGTATACCCTTATTTAGAAAAAGAAAAAGATCTGAGTAAAATTCAAACGAGTTGAGGCAATAATCCTGCTTGATGTGAGAGTTGTTAGCGGCATGTGTACGAAGGGCATGTGTGGTATTGGATTGTCTACAAATATTGCATCTTAGTGGGTACATTCTAGTTAAAGCCCAGCTGAAGATATGGACAACTTTTACGAATCAAGCGTCATGTAAGGATGGGGCACACCTTGAGGGACCTCAAATTCGAATAAGGTTAAAAAATAGCCGGGTGGCGCAGAGGTGAAACCGCTATGGTTGTCTATCGGAAGAACGAGAATGGGACGTGAAAGACTAGGATTCTAATCCAAATGTCACACTTCTCTAGGAACAAACGGATCGCATACTTATCACGCAGAGGCGGACTGGCTACCTTAGGTACCCAAGGAAGATAGTAGGTTATGAGGTTGAATGTAACTTGATGATGGTAAGGAATCAAGATAATTGACAAATAAAGTAGTATTGAAGGATTTTGATTGTCTACCTAGACCTAACTATATCGTAGCAACGATTAAAGTATAGTTAATAGTTCTAAATTAGGAGGTGGTTGAAGAAAAGGGGAGTGGGTAAAAAGAAGAAAGGTGGAAATATACCGTAAAGTCACATGATTGAAGTGGGGGAGAAATATTTCCAGGTATTTGTTATTCTGTTAGCCTGTAAACTTTAAGACGGTCCAATCATAACTCTAATATTTACAAGGATATATTATGCACTCCCACTTCTTTGGGTTGCACGACATGGGTTCCGTAACACAGCGTCAGCATTGAACTGGTAATGGCGGGCTGATCATTCTTAGAAGCTCAACACGTGTGCAATAAAAAGGTAGGTTAAGAGGTATGCAATCCTTTTTTTCTCGGAAGCGAGGTCGTACCGATGCAATAGAGGTTGCATACAAAGTACCTAAGTACCTTATAAATACAAGTCCAAGTATGAGGTAGTTATCCCGGAATACGACAAGGCTGTACGCGTATAAAGTTTCTACTATGGTTATATGGGTAAGTTTAAGAAGTGGGCTAGGTATTGTGGCCTGTGCTGCACCCATTACAGTATAGCGCCGCTCTATATAAATATAATGGTATAAAATTAGTCTTTGGCTTATTTAATTTAATCTAATAGAATATTTAGATTTTAAACTATTAGAGGATAATTTTTATATTTTTTATTATTAAAAAAGCTATTGTTTTGGTTGAAAAAATGGTAATATTTAATGTAAGTATCTTGATGTACCTGCTTGTCCTGTCCTTGTCCGCCACAGCCACAAATACTAGGCCCACTCGTTAAACTTTGGCCTGTAACCATAGTAACTATGTACGGGCCGTACCATATGTACAAGGTAGTAAAAGCGAACTAGCCAATTAAATTCCAAGCCATATCCCACTTAGGAAAGATATACGAAACCTCGAATTATATAATGAACCAAGATCAATAAAGTCTGGGTCCATGTAAAGTGCTTACATTAACTGGAAACCCGTGGGTTTACAACTAACTATGTATTGTATGTAGACTCTAGACACTGTTTTAGCGTTTCATGAAAATAAGCAGCTGAATATACCGTTTTTATTGCATGGTATACCTATCTAAAATCTCATGAAGGCTCTATATAGGCTCTAGACAGAGTCCTGCCGCTAGCGCTTACACATCTTCATTTACGCCCCCAACATACCTCTTTATCATTCGTTTACAAGATTCGTTAGGGCTTTAGATCTTATCGATCGACATCATAAGACATTTAAGATTGTTAAGCTAATGGTAAGGTGGATACCACTAATGAAGTAGGTTAGGTACCTGTTATGCCTAGGTCTTTATATAGAACGGTTTATTTGTTAACCGCTAGGACGGGTCGGCTTGGATAAAGTCGTTTCTAGAATTCGTTGGACCACGTATGCAGGGCTAAGCTCTTCTCTCCGGGGGTTTTAATCGAATTCAATATATTATAATATATAAACGAACCCGAGATTTATATAGAAGTAATATATTCAATGCAGTCTGACTCATATACATAAGGCAGATCTTGTACGCCGTACGATCAGAAGAACACAATGTAACCGTTCGCGTACTAGGGAATTTCCAATGATGAATCCTCGACTACTACATCATTGAAGCCTGACGCCATTCCTTCACGGGAAATAGGAAGGCTTGCGAATCGCGACGGCATCCAAGTCCGAGTTGGCTGCTTGGGGACCAATCAAGGGGGTTAAAAGCTCTATAGTGAAATCCGGAGAACTTGGCGGCCCCCAACAACACTAACGGCACTTACAGCGGTAACTCGAGCCACTGCTGTGCCTTTCGAGCGCATTATTCCTAACGGACATACAAGTAGATAGCGTATGCTTGCCGAATCAAAATTCAAATATATTTCTCATACGAACTAGTCAGTGGATCAATCTCATACTAGATATGGTCTGGTGCCCTCTTGGGCTTAAAGACGCCATTCATGGATTTCAGTGGCGCAGCTAGGTTCGGTAAGTATACAATATCATGTAGGGGTAGAATACCAAGATCGTAAGGCGGAATTCGATGCATGTAGGGAAAGAAACCGTTTTGGGATTTACCGTTATGGATTTGTAGATTTTCTTATTATTCAAGACCTTTCGGTGTGTTTTGGAAGATTATCGATGTCATCTTGCACACCATGACAATGAGAAAAAGTCATACTTCAATTTCCGCTCTTCTATTATCGTCGATCTACACGTCAGCAGATGCCGCCATCTTTAAAAATGGCGGCTCTGGTGCAGAGTCCCCTTGCCGATGCTTCCCCGGCGACACATGCTGGCCTGCCATCGACGCGTGGGACGCATTCAACACATCATTGGGAGGGAAGTTGATATCGACGATCCCAATCGGCGCTCCCTGTCACCGTAACACAGCAACTGGGTACAACTCTGACCAATGCAGGAACCTGCAGGACCTGTGGTTTCTCCCAGAGACGCATCTGCAGAGTTCATCATCTACGATGGCACCCTTCTTCACAAACAACTCGTGTAACCCCTTTTCGGAACCGGATACCACCTGCGGCTTAGGAAACTACGTCACATACGCTGTGGAGGCAATCGATGCTGCTGATTATCAGAAAGTTTTAGAATTCAGTAGTTCGCATAACATCAGATTGGTAATTCGAAATACTGGTCACGATTACAATGGAAAGTCTACCGGCGCGGGCGGCTTGGCTTTATGGACTCATAATCTAAAATCTAAAGAGCTTAAACAATACAATAGCACCAATTATTCCGGTGCAGCATTGAAATTCGGAGCCGGCGTTCTCGGATATGAAGTTTCCGAGTTTGCAGACTCTCACGGGCTCGTTGTTGTCGGTGGAAACCAACCCACTCTTGGATTTGCTGGTGGTTATATCCAGGGAGGTGGTCACGGTCCTTTAGCGTCCAAGTACGGGCTGGCCGCTGATCAGGTCCTCGAATGGGATGTTGTACTTGCCTCAGGGGAAACTGTTACAGCGTCAGCTAGCTCTGCATATGCAGACCTATATTGGGCGCTCTGTGGTGGAGGCGGTGGTATTTTCGGTGCCGTTCTTTCAGTGACGGTTAAGGCTTATCCAACAATATCTTTCTCGACGGCCAGTTTGACATTTGTAGTTCCCGAAAACGCTTCGGATGCAGTTGTCGATGCTTATTTCAAGGCTGTTGGTTCCTTCAACCAGCTTGTTCCTTCGATTAACGATGCTGGCGCTGTTGCCGTTTGGCTTGTAACAGCTCAGGCATTTGTATTATCGACTGTATATGCCCCCGGACTTGACAAAAAGGGGGTGGATACCCTTCTTCAACTATTTCTGGATGAACTGGATACTTCGAAGATACAATACCAATACAATTCTCAGGAGTATTCAAGTTTCTTAGAAACATTCCGTGCCCAAGTGCCAGTTAATATTTCAAATATCAACATTGGAGGACGATTGATCCCCCGAACACTCGTCGAGGAAAACAACGAAGCTTTAACGGCTGCGATCCGCAACATAACGTACAGCGGCGCCCTATTTTCTGGTGTGTCTTTCAACGTCTCAAGACATGCTCCGGACTCAATCGCGGCAAACCCATATTTACGAGACGCGATATTTGACGCCGTAGTAGCGACGCTTTTTGACTACACGAACTGGGAGACCAATTTGCAGAGCATAAACGCAATTACGAATGTCTATCTTGCTCAGCTTAAGAGCCTGACTCCTAACGGTGGCGCATATCTGAGCGAATCGGATTTCCAGCAACCTGATTGGGAATTAACGTTATACGGGGCACATTACGATAGGCTCAGCCAGATAAAATCAAAATATGACCCGGATGACCTATTTTACGCTCTAGGGGGCGTTGGGAGCGAGAGATGGGCCCAGAAATCAGATGGAAGGCTGTGTAAAGTGTAGAATATGTTGGGCAGCGTTATGAGTAGCTCCCTCCGAGATAGTGTAGGAAAATAGTTCAAAAAGGTAGGACTTAGGATATATTTTCGAGAGATTGATTAGAATATCAGTAAAAGCCATTGTATTATTTCTATACATATTACGGGCATCACATTGCGAGTGAAAGATTATCCTGTTGGTCTCACGTAATCTGAGATTCTGAATTATCTAATAGATGTGGTTAAAAGCGTACTGAGATGGAATAGTATATAGATAGTGGCGATGACGATCTGGTCAGCCGCATGCGGGCTCTACATTTGATGACAATGATTGCTTCAAATAGGAGCTCCGATTCTGCCTACGAACCGTAATGAGTTATGGAAGTAAAAAAGACGAAAATGGCGCAGTTTACGCCAAGCACATATAATATACGCGAAGTAACGTTGCAGGTAAAATAAATAATCGCTTTAGCAGTCCGAAGATGACACTACATAAAACGAGCCGTACCGTGCCGTGTAGGATGTACAGAGATTCATGATGGTTAGAAATTGATAGGGAAACGGATGTAATGGAGAAGGTGTGGCTGACGATATCTTACTATCCTTCGGCAACCCACCGAGGGAAGGATAGGATCGTTAAACGTCGAAACAAAGTAGGCGTACCTGGGACGGTCCATCCTAGAGATATATGCCGCAAGGGTTGTTCGGTATGAAAACGTTTACCGGGGGGTATTCCTTTAGTGGATATTTGGATAGTTTGGATGGTCGGGGATTACCTCGGTTGGCTACGGTATTTTAGGACTACATAGGTAGCTGCGCGCTGTTAGAAGTCGTGACTTGTAGTACATGTGTTACATGTGATTCTATTCGGTATAAGGGACATCTTGATATATCATGTCTCCACTATGAGCCCATGTGATATAGGGTTTTATTTCAGGTTTAAGGATAGAATGTGACGTGTAGATCATTACGAGGTTATCGTCAGTCTATAGAAATATATATACCAGCCCTAACATATGCCCTCAGGGATTATTCGGCACTTCTCTTCAAGAAAGGACGACATTATACCTATACCGAGGTCTCTAAGTGATATCAATAACTTTAATGAGAATTAAACTTGATTACCTTGGTGTACCTCGATATTATGGGAATCATAGCTAACACTGCGTTCCACACGCGAACGATGTGGCTATTCGCTTTCAGCGACCTGAAGACGATAGTGATCCCGAGCACTATCTTCGGCGTTGTCAATGCACTAGCAGCCTCGAAATACCGCGCTTCTCTTGAAACTCTCGATTATGTCGAACTTCTGAGAAGATCGCCTCTCGTCCTTTTCTGGGTTTTGATGCACTATCTCCCCTTCGCCATCAACAACCAAAGGACACCTCTTGCTATCACAGAAGACGCTATCAACAAACCCTGGCGTCCTCTTCCCAGCCGTCGGTTATCTCCATCCCAAGCCAAGATCCTTATGCTTTCTTTCTACATCTCTGCGCAGGTTTGCAGCGTGTTTATTACAGGAGGTTTGAGGCAAGGGGTCGGGTTGATATTCCTGGGGACTTGGTACAATAACTTTGGAGGCGCCGATGTAAACCCTCTGATTCGCAACGCAATAAATGCCCTTGGTTACATATGTTTTATCTCCGGTGCGATGGAAGTTGCACTTGGCGTACCACTGCCGCTATCGACTACATCAGTTCTTGCGAAGTGGTTTGGTATCATCTCCGGCATAATCATGACGACGGTACATACTCAGGATATGTACGATCAGGAAGGAGATGCTCTTCGGGGACGACGCACGCTACCGCTTGTACTTGGTGATGGGCCTGCTCGATGGATTACGGCTATCTGGATGGTTGTTTGGGGAGTATTATGTCCTAACTTTTGGCATACCACACTACCTACGCGAGCTATAGGTATGGCCCTTGCATTGTTAGTTGGATTGAGAACCCTAGCATATAGGAGTGTTCCTAGTGATAAGGTGACATTCTTGATATGGAATATCTGGGTGTCATTTGTATATGCCCTGCCACTTCTCCAATCCTAGAAGCAAACAGTGGGGTTACAAAATCTAGTATATTCGGCAGACTCATAGATAGAACAAAGGAAAGTTCAAAATTGTGATCGGCTTACCAAACATATCAAGTTGTTACGTTAAATACCTACCTAAGGTACCCTTTAAAAGGTGCCTACAATTTTGTGAGGCATGCCACAATCGAAGTAAAGTGTTATTATTTTAGATCACATATTATATAAACGAGTTCAGTTCATTGCTATACTTCCGGGAACTAATATTAAATTCTCAGTTCATTATTCCTATACTTGAGATTTTCGTCCTATCCCAACATTATGTTAATCTTATTATTTTTGGCTTCCTCCCAAATATCCTCAAGAACTCAGCTCTGGGATAACATGGACTAAATTGTATTGACTATGAAAAAATAACTAATGCCGTATATTTGCTTTAGAATATTTGCATATACAAGGCCTTAAGGGGGAAATCCCCCTATGAGTAGGAACCATCAATGTTTAACAAAAACAAAAACTGAAACAATATGAACATGGACTTGGTTATAGGGAAGGGCAAATAATCCGTGTATAAAGAATGTTTGCGTGTAGAGAAATATTTAGGTAATTAGTTCGCGAGTGACAATCTGATTCGCTTATACGTAATCCGTTTCTCTTGTAATGTTGCTATTTACTAGCGATCATCCATTCCCAAACTGGCCTATGACAAGTTTAAGCTGAGATAAATAATATAATTCGCTTACCAAGTGTCCCGATCCCGAGCCATACTTGCAGCATATTGCGGAACATATTCAAACAATGAACGAGTGACCTCCGCCACCTGTTGGGCCTCTTTAGAATCGATTCCTGGAGGAACTTCTCGACTCATTTTAATGGATCCCGCTGCCATATCCCACAGTAATAGTGCCTTGTCTTTATTTTCTCTATCTTGGCATTCGCGGCAATTTCCACCTATCTTCCCACCTCGAGAAAGTGTCTTCGGCAAGGTGGTAATGGTATCATGTGCGATTAAGGCGGGCCTAAGGGTATGTCCACACTCGCTGTACTTCATCTCTTTTCGGCAGAAGGGACAACTTCGATTTTCACGAACCCAAGTTCTTAGACAGTTGTGGCAAGCCAAGTGCCCACACGGAAGGATAGCCGGAGTATTATCAGATGGAGTATGCGAGAAGTGCCCTATTGAGAGAGTTATCGTTTGACAAATTTGACACAGGAGATCTTGAGGCCGATCAACTAGGAAGGTAACCATAGGATCAGGGAAAAAAGACTCTCCCTCGCCGAACGAGATATGTCCCGTATTAGCTGCTTCACCTGATAATTGCATCCCCAGAAAGCTCTTAACTAAAGATCTAATCGAGCTACCACGAAACCAATATCCCCCACGCGACGATGGAGGAACTCCTTCGTTATGTCGAGGTATTTCGTCATCCTGTTCTTGTCTCTCTCTGGGGTCTTCAGCCTGATTGGTTCGTTGCCGGGATGGTTGGGGCCTCTCGCGATGTTCATTATCTTCTGTCTGTACTCCTCGAGCCCGGGTTCGAGTTCTATCATCTGATGTTCTACGATTAGCTTGACTACCAGCCCATATAGAAGCTCTAAAGTTAGCGCCGGTTTCGGCATTGCGAGTGTTCTCACGACGGGGTGGTTCGCTCATTCTGATAGGGATCTTGCCAAGAATGCTACCGCTTTTATTGGTGATAACTTTGACGTTCATTGTGAAATTCAGTGTTAGGCAATCAGCGCGCCGCGGTACTTTTATCAACAGTAATTTTAGAATAATTTCGGTATCTTCTTCGTTGTTGATCGTAATCAGCACATTTGTTTGGGTACAGAACAGTAGAATATCTCATGTTGCGCTGTTATTTTATTGAATTTGGCGTTTAAAAGAGCTGTGTAATTAACAATCCCTTTATAGTATTATAAGACAAAGACAACAAGGTGCTCAGTCGCCGCTTTACAGCAAGATAATGAACCAAAATATACTAGATTCTATATGATCACAATTTTGTTTCTTTATGGTGCTTAGGCTTGTGGTGAAGAAGAAACCATATCTACCTCCTAACCTAGGTACTTATGTACCGAGTGGGAAGTTCAACATCGCACACTTACGATAATATAAGTAAAGAAAGAGGTAGATAAATGAGAAGTAGTTGAGCCCTAGATAAAATATTCTCTTGATGAGTCCCATTTAAACGAACACAAAGGCCATTATCTAACACGACTATCTTAAGTCACACCAAGCTACCTTTATGAAAGGATGAGAACTTATCCCTAGCGAGGACATAGAACGAGAAAATCCACAAGACCATTACAACCAAGGTCAAGGGTACCGTGACGATCCAGTAGAGGCTTTGCGAGGGTTCTAATGCTACAATAGCAGGGGTGGTGAAATATGTCTTTCCAGATACGACACTATTAGTTATACTTCTTGCATTACGAACGTATTATTGCGTTCACTTACAGCAGTGAAAGTCGCCGGGAGAAAGATCATTGTTAGAATCGCAATAGACTTCATGGCCAAGCTATCTCTCCTAGTATCGTGGGCTATACTTGTGCTGGACTCAGCTAACCTGTAATTTGTCTCGTTATTGCGCTGAGCTAGTAAATTGGCGATCTAATTGTCGAAATATGAATCAGCGTTAGTATCTAAAAGCCAAGGCATGAGATAAATATGTTCAAGTAGCGGAGAAGGGACTTACAGCAGTTGCCTGCACATTTGTTCGCTGCTTTAGATGATCAATACGAATAAGAGCGATATCAAGTGTTCGACTAATGAAACCGAGTTGCTTGACAAGAAGATCATTTTGCTCTTTTATACGGTCGTAGTTTATGGAGGGTGATTGTTGCCATGGAAATGTCAACATATCATTCTTGATCAGATCTACAGTCAATAGTTGACCTCTGATATAAGCCTCCACGGCAAGCGCATGTTGGGCTAGTCCAAGTACCGTAACTGAGAGATTCGGATCTTCACAATTACCTCGTGTCATTGGCATCCCGTTCTCTCCGATCATCGTGATACCAGTCTGACCACTTCCAAACTCTGCTTGGTGTAACTGGTCAAAGCTACGGTCTACGGCAGAACAAAACGCTTCGGTGAGGTGTTGGCTGACCAGAGTAGGAATGAGGAAAGGATTATCAGCCAAAGAAGCAAGCTCCTCTAAGTCTTGCTCTAGCCAGGTGAATCCATCCTGAGGACCGCTTCTCATCATCACAGCATTCGTCACACCCGTGGAAGGACAGTATGACATTGAAACGCCAACTTTAATGCCAACCAGCAAGCTTGTAAATGCATTCAAGATTAAGCCTATGTATAGAAATCAATTATTTAGTCTCGAATAATTGCTACAGTTAGTCCTACCGTATATTGGATTGCCATCTTGAGACGGAAGATGTATGAGTTGAAAGTGACCCACTAAAGGGGAAGCCCCTCGGGACGGTAATAAAGAGGTTATACCAGGCAATCCAAGTTTCTTGCGTATAAGCTGACAATGTTCTTTTGAGAAAGGCAGAGCAGTCATCGATTCGTTAGTTATGTCTCCAGTTGTAGATTCGTTACCAGGCATCAAATATTCATACTTTGCCCCCTTTCCAACATATCCGAGACTAGGTGCGTAGAATTATATAAGTTTAGACTCTCAACTAGTTGTAGTAGACACATAAGACTTACATGATGCGAAATTTGGGTCTCTGGTGGCTATGATCTTTCGTGGTGGTGACTTGATCCTATATATTTCGTATCAACACAATTAACCCAGGTTAAGGGCAATTAGAGCATTAGGTATAATCACCAGCCAACCCTCAAAATCCCCCGGGTTGATAATATAGGAGTGAATAGTGGGTCTCTCAGCCTAAACACTGGTTAATATAAGTATAGTCTGGACTAGATAGAAAGTCATCTTTATGATAGCTTACTTCGAAGTTTTCTACTTCAATAACCTTTACGCTAACAGGTTTGAAATCACGGTTTGATGCTAAATGTCTCTCCTGGAATTCTTGGAAAACGCCTGGCTTGAGTCTTGCCATGATTAGGAGATAGCTACTGATATTCAGCTACTTGCTATTGAAACAACAGATGAACGACTATGAAAGTTACGTAGTTTCTTCGCAGGTAGACATAAAAAGAATAAGAATTTTAAGTACGAATAATTAGTTCACAGAAGTAAGATAAGTTAGAAGTTAGTCGAGCTTCCAGTCCACTTGGTGCGGCTGAGTCTAAACGAATGTTCCGGAATACGCGTTCTAGACCTTGTTGAGAACGCCACCAAGGAGTCACCCGCAGCTCAGCTCTAGCAAGTCAAATCCTAAAAGATAATGTGCGTATTAAACGGAGATTATATATATACTGAATGTATTAATATACCTAGTTGCTAGTGGTTATAGTAGAGAGGCGATTTAACTCGGCTAACTTTGCAGATATACCTAATTCCTTTACGCCGTGTCCCTAAGACTTATTACGCACAGTCCCAATTTAGAGCTTTATTGACATCGCCTACGCCATTATACTTGGCAGTCTTCGGGTGAGGACAAATAGGACGCTGTTTCCATACCCCAGAACTCGGGTCAGTCGAATCGTGCCACGCCGTTGCAATGATCTGGTCTACCGCTTTTCCACCCTCAACCCATTCCATAAGCGCAAGCAATGCATCGTGTTTGGAGTCTTGGAACCCGGGGACAGAGTATGCACCCGAACCAGTTTGCCAATTTTGACCGGCGCCATTGATGTGCCACGGTGCATCAACCCCGGGTGGACTGTCTGAACAATGCAGCATGCCCGGAACGAAGAAAAGACGGAACCAGTCAGTAATTGGGTAAGCCTCTCCAGTTGCTAGTTCAACCTGTTCGTAAAAGTGCGACGAGCCACGCGTAACAATCAAGGGGTCAGATAATCCATGATACATCAGGATTTTTCCGCCGTGATCTCGGTAAGGAGACATATCGAATTGATCCGCATCAATTTCGTGCGATATTTCTAGATTCTTCAACCGCTCATAAACGCTTGAGTTGTACTCATCGAGAGGCCAATTCAGATCTTCAAACACGATATATCTAATATAGTCAATACCCCAGGAAGTTGGCGTACCGGCAAATAAGTATTGCGGCCACCCTGGTTCAGAAGAGAGCTCAAGACCCGGGTGCACGAACTCTGACCCGATGTAGTAGTCCTCGTAGATCTTTGCTAAAGTCTCTAGTTGTAATGACGTGAGGCACGCAGATGAATTAGCAGCGGTGCTATTGCAGGATAATACTTCGAAGTCCGGATGACAGTTTTCGGGGTCGCTAATAATACCATCCTTAACACCGTCAATTGCATCGCATTGATCAACTACCGTTTGAGCTATAATAGATGAGAATAACTCATTGGAGATGCTCTTCGGGTCGTCCACGGGATAGTAATCCTTGCTGATCTTAGTATTCCAAGCCACCTGATGGCTTATCCACCAAGCTGGCGCACCGATGAGCATGCCATCAAAGCTATCGGCACCGACCTGGGCTTCTTTGAGACCCTGTCGTCCACCAGTGGAACAGCCAGTGTAATAGGAGTACTGTATATTCTCGCCGTAATAACCTTTAATCAATTGTTTCGAAAGCTCGACGGACCCATGCATAGCCCGCCAGCCCCAATCAATCAATTTTTGCGGGCTCTTGTAAGCCCATTCAACATCGTAAGGGGAGCCCCTATGGCCATTATCCGTAGACATCGTAGCAAATCCATATTGCGATCCAACACCCATATCAAGGTAATTCACGTATCCTCCGGTACCACCCCCTCCAGTCGCGAGGAATCTTGAATTCCACTTAGAAGGTAGGAAGATAGAGATTGTGTAGGATGATGATTCGGATGATGTTACGTTTACCTCGACGGCGCAGAGGTCCGGGAGGCCTGTCGAGACCAAAGGTGGGAGACCTTGAGGTGAATTAGGATCACCATAACTACCATTTAGTTGAACACGAGTAACCGATAGTATTGTCGCATTATTAGACAATGAGCTGTTAATCGAAGATAGCTGGTGAGCCACGTTGTCGAGAGAACATTTTGGTTTAGTACCTGGATAAGCGTGGCTTGCTTGGGGTGTTAAGGCGAGCACATAACCCAGTATTTGACTCTTACGAAGGTACATCGTCGCCAATGTTATAAATAGATATGTGCAGATGGAAATTTACATTCATATTGATGATCGGGTAGATCGCATTGTATATATATACACACTCACAACACTGCTTCTGCCTAGCTGAGGTGAGATACTAGCTACCGGTAACATTAATGACTTTGAACATCAAGTTTAACCGTGTCCGAGTTATGATGCTCTAAATACCATGTTTTTCTACATACACTCGACCGACGGGCTGAAGTTAAGCCGGAAGAAGTGCGGCGGAGTCCATACACCGAGCTAGAATGCTGCGCTGCTGGCATCAGCAAGCTTCATCAAGCTTGTCGATTTAATCTGATTCGTAAAAACTTGAAATACTATGCAAGTGCGCGTTAAGAAGCTTATTAGTATATTATCCCGAATAGACTTATTGAGCCTTACTCTCAAACTTGCAATACAAGCGAGTTGAGAAAGAACATCTTAATAGATGTGTTGAAATAAGCGGTCAGGGGACTACTTTCAGGTGTATCTTGGCATGGAATGAGTATATAAGATGGACCTCCCTCCTCACTCATACATTTGATAGACTAAGTTGATGTACAGCAAGATGACTCTCATTATTTTTTACCATACCTAGTCCTGTCGGAAACAAGGCTCGACAAGAAATCTCTATAATAGAAGATCAAGCGCAAGAAGAATCACGATGAAATATTGAAAAACTTGCCTATAATGAAATGAATTTCCTCGAAAAGCTTGTTTGATGCTAGAAAAGATGGAGAGACTATTCGCTTTCTTCAGATGATCGAGGAAGAGCCGTGTGATCTCTGAGGCCCTACTCATCAAAGATTAATAATGCATTGCTTAAGCGAAGTATAAACCGAGACCGTTTCGACTCAACTTGGAAAGGAAACTGTCGGAATGGCTACTTTCGAACAAAATCTTACGGGTAGCTCATTCTTAGCGATGGAGACTGAATTTCCCGATTCATATATCTAACGAGGTGCTCAAAGCCATAGCAGAACGACTAAACGATGAAGATTCCCAAGTTAGAAAAGCTGTTGTGGAAGCGCTGCAGGCCCGACCACGCCTGTCTAACAAGGTGATGCCCTGAGGGATCTAGAAACACAACTAAGTCATAAAAGTTCCAATACTATTTCGGAAGCTTTACAAGATTTAAGCGGTGTTTCAGATATATCCGATGAAAGTGATGTCCTAGAGGAATCCGAAGAATACAGTTTTCCCAAAAAGTCCAAAAAGTCCAAAAATCCCCCACTTTTCACTGCTCAACGACCAACTCAGAGGATTAGAGTACAGGGTCCTCTTAGAGAGAAGCTTCATAAAGTCATGGATTTGGTATGTACAAAGCGATATATCTTGTCTTAACCATCCCCGTGGAATCATCAAGGTCTCTGTCCGTGACACTACATGGTTGAACGAACGTGGTAACGAAGTACGGAATAATCTATCGGGTGAATACGAAGAAAAATGCGAATTGGAACGTAAATGTGTCGACTTAAAATGTAAATACTATGTAGATGCGTGTAAGTGGGCAAATGAAGGAGATATTGTAAGGTAATTAATAATAATTGTTTAATTAAAAAATCCCTTTTGTTAAACATAACATCTCTTTTCAATGTCATTTGTATGATGATATTCCCCGCACCCCACAATTTAAGCCTCGTAGCTTGGTTTAAAGTTCCATCCATTGGCATCACAATTTTTTATTCGTTCAGCCTTGTTTTGTTAGACAATTGAAACCAGAAGCACGCGACAACAATTCAATTGAACACGACAGCCTGATAATTTCTATCACACGAACCAACTCCTAGTCGAAATAATAAAGACGGCTTATTTTAAGGTACATATTGAAACGGTAAAACTTCTCGCAGACCCTCGCCCAACATGAGGCTCACGGTCGAGCTCCTTCAGAATTCCCCCTCCTGGCTTAACGCGTTGAAAGAGCGTGAGCTCGAGCTACGAGGTACGTCGGAAAAGAACAGATACTACACTTTTTTTGATCTAGAAGAGCAGAATTGATAGCGATGCCCTTGCCGGCTGTGAACAGGACATCGTATCCCCACCATCGAGAATTTGGGCGTTGCAGGTGTAAGCAAGCTCTCCTTTTGTTTACTTTCCCTTATGCAAAGGTATAATTACTAACGTATAAGCGATACTTAGCCGCAAGATTGCATTGACTTCGTCGACAATGATATCCAGGTACTGGGGAACTTCCCCCTATCCCCGCGCATACGGTCCCTTCTCCTACAGCGAAACCGCATCGCATCCATACAACCTACCCTCGTAAACTCGATCCCCAACCTCACAACTCTGCAACTAGAGTCGAACAACCTAAGCGAACTGGCAGATCTGGACCCGCTTGGATCTTTCCCGAGGCTTACACACTTGGTACTACGAGATAACCCCGTCACGAAGAAGGAGGTAGGCTGAATAACATCCAAGTAAACAATGACTAGGTGCATAGGCTAATACGCTCTGCTGAACTACAGTACTACCGTTACTGGATCCTATGGCGCTGCCCGACGGTCCGATTCCTCGACTTCGAGAAGGTGAAAGACGCAGAGCGAAAAGAAGCCGCGACCCTATTCGGCACCGCAGAGGAGCCCACTGAATTAGCCTCCAAGATCATGGGCGTCAAGTCTAAGACATTTGACTCGGTGCTTTCCGCTAACGGCGCTCCTTCCGGGGCCCTACCGACGCGCATGTCGCGCATCAAGCTTACGGAGAAGGAGAAGACGCGCTTGCAGGACATGATCAAGAAGGCCACGAGCCTGGACGAGATTACGAGGCTCGAGGCTATGCTACGAGAGGGCAGGATTCCGGCTGGTGTACATTTGAACGACGAGATGGAGGAGTGAGATACTTACCTATATTTGAGGGTGGAAGTTAAGTCGAGGTGGTAATTTGGCGTATAGTTCATGGTCATAAAATGAAAAATCGGGTATACCCATGGAATAGGCAATAATGCAATTCTTTCGCCAGCGGACGCAAGCAAGTAAATCGATTCATGATGACTGACACGCTACGGACTAACTATCCGGGAATATTCCACACGATATGCTCTATTCTGCCACAATTAAATCCAGCCTTGCGATTGCGTAAGGCTGAATCAGAGCATTTTGCCGGACCTATATTTAGCTACTCTTATCAATATCGAAACCCAGACATATAGCCCCTATCCACTCATTTGGACATCCTCATCCTCTTCTTGATTCGCCTGCCGCATTTCATGATGCAGTTGATCCGCCGGGTCCATCTCCGCACCATCGTCATCGCTCATGATCCGAGCACCACTAGCGCCCACGAAGCTGCCTCCATTTAAGCTCGAACGACTGGTGCTAGGTCTGTGCTTCTTCGCCGAACCCCCTCCATTCGTCGCTGGTACCTCGCGCTGCTTGTCGCCTACCCGTTCGATACCGGGTGTGCCGCTGCTGAGCTGGTTTCGCGTAGCAGCTGCTTGCGCTTTGATCTGCTTGTATGGTGCTGTCTTGGGGATCACGTCCTCGAGGAACTCGAGGTTGTCTTGGTGCGAGACGGCGGCTGCAAGGTCCTTGTACTGGATGTTGCGGCGGGGCTTGCCAAGTTTGGCCATGGTGAAGCTTTCGCCGGCTAGGTATTGGATGAACATCTCCTGAGTGGGGGATTAGTAGGGCGTTGAGAAAAATGAAGGGGTTAGACTTACAGTTGCGAGTGTGATGACGAATGCGGCGTTGTTGGAACATATGCCAATGTCCTGGTCCTGTGCTACAATCTTCTTCACTCGTGATACTGTAAAATTGGGTGGTTAGTGTTAGTATAAAAATAGAATGCAGGGGCGAGCTCACAGGGCAATTGAGTTTGGCCCGTAACCTCCTTGCGAGGCGGAATTGCCGTTGTGTTATACGGCATTGCGACGAGATCCCTCAAGGTAGTAGAAGCACGAATAAGTAAAGCTCCCAGAAGGATGTTTAGACTAAGTCGCAGTTTGGCCTAAAAATGGAACGGTCCAACTGAATTTGAAGGTATAGGAACTATGAATTGTGTTAGTAACAAAGGAATGCTGAGATTTTATATTTGAAGTCCCGTCTTATAGGAGTTGAACTTACTTACCTGCTGTTGTAAGACGTTCAAATAATGATTACTCTTATCAATAAATATTCTTTGATGGTCGGGTTTAATAACCGTTGTAGCTTGTCGGGCTTCTTTATATAGGTAAAATACGATTAAAATACTTGTCTTCAGAGTTATTTCATTACATGTTAGATACGTAAACGCGTGAAAGGCTGCGGAGACGCGATTCCATTAAACTTGAAAAAACTGTATTGATACTGTGTAGAAAGTATGACTAGCACAAGAAAGCACTAATTTTAGTGGCTACTTCTCTTATATGACATGTGAATGGGGCACTTCATACTGTGCAGGTTACACATGCTACCCCCATAGCCAAGGCTGGGAAAGCTTGAACGACCGCTAAAGCATAAGACCCTTGCTTCCAATATCGACCTTAGGCCAATTACGTATGAGCAATCAGCTCTAACTCTTACTTGTACATATTCCAACTCAAGATCAGCATTCAGCCTTGGCCGCATAGGTAATCCAATCTTTACCTATACCTATCTAAACTGCACATGTCGCAATCGAATTATCTAGTATATAGTAACCCCGCAAATGAATAGCTGAGAATGGTCACGGCCCTTCATGTCTTCCCGTACCACCTCCTTCTCCGCATCGCGCTCCCAGCTATCCCGCCGACCGTCTGTTAGTTCTAGGTTATCCTTCGCGGTATCAACAGTCGAGCAAGGAGAGGGGCTGGGAAGCAATGCGCCGGTGGAGCATCAGATCGACGAAGAAATAGCGGAGATCAAGAGATATGAGGTGCGCTCTCCGGCGCTGTTCTGCGATGCTAGTTACGCCTTTTCGCTAATGTAATGCCTAGGACTTTACTACCATAGGTATGCGCGCCAACGAGACCCGATCCAATTTCGTAGTGAGGAGATATTAAGATAAAAATATAGATTGGGTACAGGATGCGGCTCAAGAAAGATTACGCCGGAAAGCGCGCCGCAGAAATAATCCCGGCAATGGCAGAGTGTCGTGGAGGTATAGATTATGGGAGTCCTATGATGCTGCCCAGGGCTGGATCGTCGTGACCCTAATAGGTGCCGCTATTGGGCTTAACGCCGCCCTTTTGAATATAATCACAGAATGGCTAGCCGATATCAAAATAGGTTACTGCACGACGGCCTTCTATCTTAACGAGAATTTCTGCTGCTGGGGTGAGGACAACGGATGTGATCACTGGCATCGCTGGACGGGATTCGAACCCGTTAATTATCTTATATATATTACGTTTGGAGTAAGCTCTCTTCCTCTTGATTGCTTCATAACCTTGCAACTAAACTATTCAGACTGCCTTTGCTTTCACTTCAGCTACCCTTGTCAAGTCATTCGCACCTTATGCTGCGGGCTCGGGCATTTCTGAGATCAAATGCATTATTGCCGGATTTGTTATGAAAGGATTCCTAGGTCTACGGACTTTGGTCATCAAATCTGTAGCTCTACCTTTGGCTATCTCGTCTGGCCTTTCGGTCGGTAAGGAAGGTCCTAGCGTGCACTATGCAGTATGTACAGGCAATGTCATTTCGAGGATGTTTGATAAGTATAAGCGGAACGCATCCAAGACACGGGAGATACTTAGTGCTTGTGCGGCTGCGGGAGTTGGAGTCGCGTTCGGAAGTCCTATCGGCGGTGTTTTATTCTCTCTGGAGGAAATGTCCAATTATTTCCCCCTTAAAACTATGTGGAGAAGTTACTTCTGTGCGCTTGTCGCAACAGCAGCCTTGGCGGCGATGAACCCCTTTAGGACCGGCCAGCTCGTCATGTTCCAGGTCAAATATGATCGGTCGTGGCATTTCTTCGAAACAGTACCTTACATCTGCATTGGGATATTTGGAGGTCTCTACGGCGCGTTCGTGATTAAGTGGAATTTACGCGCTCAGGCGTTCCGGAAGAAGTATCTTTCGAAATTGGCAGTTCTTGAAGCTACGCTTCTAGCTGCGGGAACAGCAATCATATGCTACCCCAATGCGTTCCTCCGGATTGATATGACGGAGAGTATGGAAATTCTATTCCTGGAGTGCGAAGGCACCGAGGATTATCATGGGCTTTGTGAGCACGATAAGCGATGGGCCAATATATTATCACTAGCCATCGCGACGGCAGTTCGAATATTCCTAATCATTATCTCGTATGGTTGCAAAGTGCCCGCCGGTATATTTGTACCGTCTATGGCGGTAGGGGCAACCTTCGGCCGGACTGTTGGGATTATTATGCAGGCTATCCACGATGCTCACCCGGATAGCGCCTTCTTTGCTGCTTGTCAGCCGGACGAGCCTTGTATTACTCCCGGGACTTATGCTTTTCTAGGGGCCGCCGCTGCACTCAGTGGCATAATGCATATTACTGTGTCGGTTGTGGTTATTATGTTCGAACTCACTGGGGCCTTGACATACATCTTACCTACCATGATTGTTGTCGGTGTTACGAAAATGGTGTCTGATCTGTTCGGCAAAGGTGGGATAGCCGACCGGATGATTTGGTTTAGCGGCTTCCCATTTTTGGATAACAAGGAAGAACACAACTTTGGTGTTCCAGTATCGGCAGCAATGACTAACGATGTGATAGCCATACCTGTCCACGGCATGACGTTAAAGGCTGTTGAAGATCTCCTAAAGCAACCGAAGTATCAAGGTTTCCCTGTTGTTGAAGATCTTACAAGGAAGATTCTTGTCGGATATATTGGCCGTACGGAGTTACGTTATGCGGTTGATCGTCTACGTCGCGAGAGAGCGATTCCGATTAGCCCCGAGGCTAAATGTACCTTCTCGCCTCCAGCGATTAGTACAATTACGCCCATCACCCCCACCGTGACCATCAGCAGTATGGATTATAGCGCCTCATCGGCGTCTCTCGACTTTAGTCGGTACGTAGATGCGACACCAGTTACGGTGCACCCGCGGCTACCGCTGGAGACGGTGATGGAACTATTTCGCAAGATCGGACCGCGCGTAATCTTAATAGAGCATCACGGGCGTCTGTCGGGCTTAGTCACGGCAAAGGACTGTTTAAGATATCAGTTCAAGGCGGAGGCAGCTGAGAACCCCCGCGACGATCATGAGATCCTAGAGGTCTACGAGAAGCTCTGGGGCTTTATGAATAGAATTGGCGGATGGGTCTCGATAAAAATCGCAAGCGCAACTGGTGGCCGTATACGGCTCGGGAGCGCGGCGAATGAGAGAGCAGGCGGGCAGATCATGGACGGCGATGAGGATGTGGGTATAGATGATGGGGTCGAATTAGAGAATAGATAGATTTGATAACTCGAAATATACACGAACTAATTACTTGTTTATCAAACTAATATTCTACTTGTGAAAATACTTGGGGAATAGATATAGCATATAACTTATACGAAATCTCGTGATCTACCAACGAGATAGGTTTTGATGTCAATTATGTAACCTAGTTGGCTGGTTGGAAACCAATAGTGGGGCTAATTATTGCTTTCCGCTGCAGGAACGCGATTAAATGCCGAAGTTGAAATGCACTAATATGTCCGAGATGGATATCCGCATATGCACGTAGGTTACCGAGTTTTAACAAGACCCACGACACGACTTGTCTTCTCAAATAGCGTTGACGTATTATTTAAATTTAAATTTCAATAGCCAAGCATTTTAAAAAGCCACGCGTCCGGAACACACTCGGTGATAAGAAATACCTGAATTTAGATGTTTCCGGCAGCCCTTATCAGATCCCATAAGCTGAGACATTCTCGGCACAGCATCAGAACCCGTGGATCATTCCATTGGTCCCAGCAGTTAGGCTCACTTATTCCTATGTTGCTATATTTGTACCTAACTACCTAGTAGCCATACATTAGGTACCTACATACATACCTTTGACGTAACACACCTCATACGCAGCCCCGTACCGACGTATCCGGAACCCTTAGTAACCTAATCCACAATGCCCCGACCCGGGAAACCCCAGTCTGCGTTTGCGACTGCGACTGCGACTACTAATTCTTCTTCAATTACTTCCGCCTCCGTTCGAGCGAGGAAACCTGCCGTATTTGCTGCCGAGAAGAGACGGACGAATACACTCCATAGCCGCAACGGTCCGGTATCTTCGGAAGACGATAACAACGACACTGCTGGAGATTCTACCGTCATGTCTTCCTGGACGGTTAGGAATCGGTGGATCGTCTTTGCTGTTGCTAGTGGTGCTTGCGCTGCTTTTAATGGCGTGTTAGCGAAATTGTGAGTATATCTCAGATTCTTTCATTTATATACTCATTCGTCCCTCGAATAATCTATTTCACATTTCACTCATTTTAAAATTGCAACTTTCTACACTATATGAACTCATATTTCAATACTATAAATGAAAACAAGGAACATATAATGAAACCAAGTTCAGCTAGATGCTAATGTAAGACCACCTGACAATTAGGACTACAAATGAACTTTCCACTCACATAGCCCGAGGAATTTCGGGACTCTTTGGGTTGACGGACATCGAACGAGTTGTCGAGATCGTTGTGCGAGTTGTAAGTCTCTTTCAACTTATACTCGAGATAAATATACCAGTTGCTAACACCGTATTCAACAGAGTTTCTTCGGTCTTAATTTAGTCTTCAACGGAGTGGTATGTTCAGTTCACATCTTACTAACTAAACCATATCAAGAGTCATTAAATCTAACATAAAACCTTAGATGTGGACCCTATTCACACAAGCCCTTGCAAAGGGCAACTCAACAACACAAGTCTCCATCATGAACACATCCACCAATTTTGTCATCACAGCTTTGCTCGGACTATTTATCTTCTCCGAGTCGTTACCACCGCTCTGGTGGGCCGGCGCCGCGTTACTTGTTGCCGGGAACGTCATTATCGGCAGAGGCAAGCAGGAAGAAGGCAGCGAGACGGCAGCTGCCTTAGACGAGGGTGAATATCACGATGAAGAAAACATTAGTGATAGTCACGACGCCGAATCAGCAGCCGAGTTGGGCCGCGGGACCGGCGTAGCCCCGCAGGTCGAAGGCGTACTGCCCGTGGAGAAGGATGATGAGGACGAGGATGTCGCCCTTTTGGGAGATTTAAGTTAAATCGACGTACGCTTAGGATAAGCGACGGATTTATTGGGACAGGTTAAAGACCATATATTTGTTTTGCTTACGTCTCCCTAATGAGCTCGGGGAGGTAGGTATCCGAGATCATATATCGAATACCTGCCTAGATAGATGGATGAAAACATATTTGAAATTTATTTTGTAATCTCTTGTTCCTTGTTAGCAGCCTGAAGTTAGGTCATATGTTACGATACCATCAATATTATAATTGTGGTGTGTTCAAAAACATCTGGCAAGTAACACATATTAGAGCGAGTTGGGTGGATGGGCTTAATATTCTATTTTAAACGCATGCCAATACCTAATCCGAATTGCAATGCAAGTTGCACAATTTGGTATGCCTTTTCCGTAAAACGCCATGAAACCCACCATATACGCGTTACGCCGTCGTATGCAAATAAACCCATGGCCGTCTTAAAAAGGCATAATTCTACAAAAACTCCACGCCTTGCTGCTGTATCATAGTCCCCTACCAGACTTATCGTTTTGAGGTCGATTGTCAATCAATATTCGTCCGAACGTTGCTAGCTTCGGGATTTTATCGCAAGGGGCGGGAAATGACGGTAATCCTGGGCTCGGTCGATTGTAACGTATGGAAAAGAGATCGCGAGCTCTAAAACAATGCATAGAGGTATACTCCGAGTAGCATCTTAGACCACCTTCCGTAACGGAAATGAAGAGAATTATTCAGAGACACGTGGACTGCCATCTACGCAGCATTGCCATTCGGCTTCGCAGTGCAAGATACTATTTTAACTTTGTCTGCTGAGACCACCTGTCCGCCATTCTCCATCTTGAATGTAACGTTCTTGAGCTGGAAAGTCCAGACTTCGTCGCAGAATCGGTAAGTATCTAGGCTTCCCTATACAGCCGGGCAAAGTAGGATGATTAACGCCCAGCTCCATCATGTGCTATAGCACCGGGATATTAATATTTACCTTGAAGCTCAGACGAGCCTTGACCTTGTCCTGCAGTACTTCGGTAATGGCGCGGTCGAAGTTCGCGAGGATCTTCATAGCAAGCTGGGGATCTATCCGGTGCTCTGTTATAAGATCGTCGAGGGTATCTGTCAACGCGGTTCCGACGCTGAAATATATATTGTCAACGGAGACCTAAACGGTGTGGTTTGAAGATGACGCTATACCTGCTCCGTCGGTACAGTTCATAGAAGTTCTGCCCGTTAGTGGCCATTTTGATAGTAATTATCGGTAGATAGGACGTCTGTAGTATGATACTGTAGTATGATCGAGACGGTAGATCGACGCGACAGCTTGAGCGATCAAATCGGGAGATGGTCGTGTATGGCGGTTGTTGTTGAAAGCAGTAGGATTGCGACAAATGGAATGGCAATTGAGATTAGTCAAGGATGTTCTATGTCCTAGCGTTAGCGGGGAGAGATTGGCCCGGGGTACCGATTATGGCTGTGCACTAATAATTTAGGCATCCCTATGTACTTCGTGGCGGTGCAAATAAGATACCTAAATGGATGTAGGTACAGAATATGACCAGCATTAGGTAATCTCCAATCATGTATGCGGACTAGAGATTCCCTCACTGTAACTAGAAGGCTCACACGTTCTCACAGCAGTCGCAGATTCATATCCCTGTCTGTTACGTACCTCATGCAAACGGGACGTTTCCGGGAAGGTCCACATAACCACTTAACGCGTGATAGCGCAACTCGCTCGCGTCGTCTCAACTCAGCGCCCTTCAACGCGCTAGTTACTAACACCGGGGTTAAGTAAATTGGTAATTGTAATTCTGTGAAATCATCATTCCTCCTCTGGTGCCTGTCTACCTGTTTTGCTTTTTTGTGATGTTTAGTCTCCAATCTACTCCAATTCACTCCTTCGTAATTTATTAACTTGTAATCGTCACTTATAATCCTCTGACTACCTGACTACCTAATTATCTTCTATCTCCCTCCTTATTATTTCCTTTGGAATGGCGTCAACTTCGTCTTCGGATGTCGATTCTATTCTCTCTTCATCTCGTCTACCCACTAGTGTTCCCTCGTCGCCACCCCCCGCCGATGATTTAGACAGTCTCAAAATGGGTCTTACTTCAACTTTCACTGAGCAGCAAATGCTCACCGAAGAGAAGAAAGCCAGAGCCGAGAATACCAGAGTAGAGGCAAAGCGACTCGCCGCTCGGAGGAAACGTAAAGTTCAACTCTCTCCCCAGGAGAGGGCTCGCAAGGCTAAGGAACTCGACGAGCTCCTCCGCAAAAGTAAAGTCTTTAGCGACATTTTAACGCAGAAGACCAAAGCTCTTGGTCGTGTCGGCCGCGACTTTGATAACCAGGCATTGGCCGATGCTGGTTTGAATTTAAAACAACAACCGAAAATTATGAGTGGCGGAACTATGCGCGATTACCAACTTGAAGGTCTTACGTGGATGTACGAGATATGTTTACAAGGCCTTAGTGGTATATTAGCAGATGAGATGGGTTTAGGTTAGTACCTATCTATCTATCTATCTATCATAACCTCAAGCTCACTTCATCTAACCGAATATTAGGGAAAACGATTCAAGTCATTTCTCTCGTCGCATTGCTAAGAGAACAGGAGAACTATTTCGGCCCGCATCTAATCATCGCTCCGTTAAGTACGTTATCAAACTGGCAGGACGAATTCCGCAAGTGGACTCCTACAATACCGTTCGTATTATATCACGGTACTCCCCAAGAACGACAGCAGATCTTTCGTGATAAGATCATGAAGAGCTATCAGAAGGGCCGTCCAACCCAGCGATTTCCTGTGGTTTGTACCAGTTACGAAATGGTCCTTAGAGACCGCGCAAGCCTCTCCAAGATTGACTGGGCCTTCATCGTTGTTGTTAGTATATATGTATTTGATTAAGCTTATAGTCATTGACATATTATAGGATGAAGGACATCGCATGAAGAATTCCGATGCCAAGCTTTTCAGGGAGCTACAGCAATTCAAGTCAGCTACTCGGCTTCTCATCACTGGCACACCTTTGCAGAATAACCTCAAAGAATTGTGGTCGCTTCTCCACTTCTTAATGCCAGAAACGTTCCTCGATTGGGAAGCATTCGAAGTATGGTTTGATTTCAGTGATCTACAAGACGAAGAGGGTACAACGCAGTTTATTGAAGATAAGAAAAACCAAGACCTCGTTTCCAAAATACACAAAGTTCTACAGCCTCTACTCCTCCGCCGAATTAAGGCAGATGTAGCCAACTACTTACCAAGAAAGCGAGAATACGTACTATTTGCACCAATGACTAAAGAGCAGACGGATCTATATAATGTGATCGGCGATAAGAAGACCGACACCAGAGCTTATTTAGAAAATAAGGTAGTCGAGCGGTTGACGGAGACCCGTAACAGCTCGGTCAGTACCGGAAGGTCGAGCCGGCAATCCTCCCGCGCGAACGGTGCCCGAGTAAGTCAGGCGCCATCTCCGTCCGCAAGTAATGCGTTTGCCATGATGATGGGTAAGAAAGGAGGTGCGACATTGAAGGCGACAATTAAGAATAGTTCGCCTGCTCCTCAAGCTAAAGGGACTAGCAAACGAAAAGTCGCGCCGACTAGCGAAGCCTCATCCCCAAAGAGTAGTAAATCGAGCCGACAATCTACTCCAGCCAGCAGCGTTCGAGGACGACCGCGCAGGGGTCGCCCTTCGTATAAGGCAGCAGATGACTCTGACGAAGACAAGTTGGATGATGATGCATTCGAAGCAAAACTAGCGGCTGAACTTGCTGCTAAAGATGATGAATCTGATGAAGACATGAGGGATGAAGAAGAAATTGAGCGTGCAGCTACACTCGACCTTGCTAGTAAGTTTGGAAGCCCAGGCTATGCGGCTAGTCTAACATGATATAGAGCTTCAAATCGCCGACAAGAAACTTGGCAACCCCTTAATGCAGTTAAGACTTGTATGCAATAGTCCTCACAATTTCTACAGCCCATGGACATATGGCGATAACATCCCGGTCGACGAGAGCATTGTAACAGCTTCTGGAAAAATGCTTCTCCTGGACCGGTTACTTCCAGAATTGTTTGAACGTGGACATAAGGTCCTCATCTTTTCGCAGTTTAAGACACAGTTGGACATACTTCATGATTATTGTGCCGAATTGCGTAAATGGAATGTTTGTCGCATCGACGGAGGTGTCTCCCAAGAAGATAGAAGACAGCAGATTAAAGAGTTCAACGAGGACCCTGAGTTTAAGATATTCCTATTGTCGACCAGAGCGGGTGGTCAGGGTATCAACCTTGCGAGCGCAGATACTGTGATACTATTCGATAGGTAAGTTCGCTTTTTCGATCTATCCAGGGGCCAGCTAATTAACGTTAATTAGTGATTGGAACCCGCAGCAGGATTTACAGGCGCAGGATCGCTGCCACCGAATTGGCCAAACGCGTCCAGTTGTTATTTACCGACTTGCCACAAAGGGAACTGTCGAGGAAGAGCTTCTCCTTAGCGCAGACGCGAAGCGCAGGCTAGAGAAGCTTGTTATCAAGAAGGGAGGATTTAAGACAATGGGCCAAAAGCTCGACAATGCCGAGACTTTAGATAAGGAGACACTTCTAGCCCTGTTGTTAAAGGACGGCGAAGTGTACCAGCATTCAGGTGGTGACCGAATTCTAAGTGACGAGGATATCGATACCCTCTGTGATAGGTATGTCTACTCTTGGCGCCTTGCATATAAAATTGAGATTACTGTCTTGCTAACCCTTTCTGTAGAAGTGATGAGGCCTTTGACCGCGCTGCTAGAGGCGCTGGCAATGCCGCCGGTTTCCAAGTCGTCGAAACTGCCGCGGATGGTATTACTCAAATGAATGGAGAGTAGATATATGTATTCCATATTTGGATTTGAACTGTATCAACAAGCATCGGCGTTACGTATATCGGCCAGGCGGATTGGATCAGGTAGCCTGATGAACTTTATGCCCCCATGTACAACATTTAGCATATATAAGGCATTTATTGTAAGATTGCTAATTATGTACGATTGTTGATATTTACTTTATGTTGTATCGTCTCTTTGCCGTTCAGCTTCAGATTTCAGAATTAATACTTATGCTAAGTGCCTAAATTAACAGCTTTTTAGCAAGGTCGCGAGTTCATCTATAAGTTAGACTTACTACCTAATGTTTGTTGGATCGCACTTATCGGGTTTAACGAAATTACGCAATGGTAACTAGCAATGACGCTCTAGTTTATCCACTTCGTTTACTAGCGGGGAAAGTCAACTTCATATCTTACAATATAACGTGAGCGACGTCTGTAAGGGCACATGCTGCGAGCCCTTACATACTTAGGTACCTAAATAGTTTGGGAAGGCTCCCCTCGGTTACATTATTGATGGGTCTAGCTAGATAAACAATAAACTTCGAAACGCAAATTTATAATCAATCCTGAGACTCTTGCTATTCTAGATCCTCGAATCATTTTCGTTACGACAGACATTCGGTTGTTACCCAATACAAAGGGGTTGGACCATATGAATTCGGTATAGAGTTAATCATTTATTATAAACATTATACCGACGATTAAAGCTGTGATTAATTACCAAAAACAATAGAGCACGTCACTTCAAAGTTCAAAAGTCATCATCCCATAATTTCAAAAAGTTCGGGCCTTGAGGTATCAGCAATTATGTCTACGGCCGAAGAAGCAGGCGTAGGCGATGGGGCCCTAAGCAAAGATATCCTTTTGGTCTTCTTCCCTTTTGCAGAAAGAAAGGAATGGATAGAGCATATTACCAATCGCTTCAAAGGCCTCCAAGTACGATGGGTCAATGCGATAAATTCCGACCACTCCGTCGTAAAAGCTACAGACATAGCTGCGGAGCTGTGGGATGGCGTAACCATACTCTCTACGTTTATGCCGCCTCCGGCCGAGCTGATACCAAACGTCCGCTTCGTCCAGGTTACCTCGGCCGGTGTGGATAGATGGCCGAACCACCCTACGTATCAGGACGAGAAGGTCAAGTTCTCTACTTCGAATGGTATTCATGCGTAGGTCGATCCCTTCAGTTACTCCTACTCTACGGGATTCAAGCTGCACCACGGGAATATCTCGCTATATATAGTAATTATGAGCTGACGCATCACAAAGGCCCCAAATCGCGGAATGGGTTATCGGTGCTTGGCTCTCGCATCAGCATAACTTCATACACTACACTTCGAATATGAAGACGGGAAACTGGGAATCGCCATTCGCAACCCGTATTCAAGATTCAACGGGACAACGAATGTAAGGTTTTTGAACCAGTCCTATTGATGTTAAGTATACGAAATAATAACGCTAATCTTATTTTAAGCGGTATTTTAGGATATGGAGCAATCGGAAGACAATGTGCACGCTTAGCTAGTGTCTTAGGCATGGAGATCTACGCTTATACGCGCGGTGAACGATCCACCCCAGAGTCGCGCAAAGATGACAGCTACTGCGTGCCGGGTACTGGCGACCCCGATGGGATTTTACCAGCGAAGTGGTTCCACGGCACGGACAAGGAAAACATCAACGAATTCCTTGCCCAAGGTCTTGACCTACTAGTTATTAGCTTACCGCTAACACCAGAGACGCGACACATCATATCCGACGAGCAATTCAAGATTCTTAATGAAAGAAAGACCTTCGTAGTAAACATCGCGAGGGGTGGTCACATCAACCAAGATGCTCTCATTAAGGCGCTAAAGACAGGTCAGATTCGGGGGGCTGCGCTAGATGTGACGGATCCAGAGCCTTTACCTAGTGATAATCCGCTGTGGAAGGCCCCGAACCTCCTCATCACTCCGCATGTAAGCTGGAAGACCGACCGCCTCTGGGATAGATTGCTGGACATCCTGGAACTTAACCTTGAAAAACTAGCTACTGGAAAGCCACTTATCAACGTAGTAAATCGCAAACTTCACTACTGATAGGAGGTAGGGAGGAGGTAGGGAGTATAGAAGGATGATAAGCATAAGTACTTGAAGCTTTCAGCTAGAAACGGAAGTAAGAAGACGAATAGAAGATAGATGTGAATAGATCCCTGTTATGGCCCTACTAGTATGTAGGGACTTTGTGATATAACCTCAAGTTAGCTAGAGTCAGCCCCAAGTGTGTGTGTCAAATGTGCATCTAGAACTCTGCGGCTGGCCTGAGATATTACAATAGACATGGCCAAGCCTTGGCTTTCACATAATGCTAGATAATGAGCTAGATGTCATTACCATTTACACAACATTATTTGTAAATGAGACATATTGTGTGGCCATCACCAGGTAAGTACAATAATTCGCCACGTGAGGATCTAAGGAATCTGCATAAAGAGCAAAGATAAAAATGTTGAATATCGATTCAAGGTAAAATGTCGCGACCTGGGCTAGAAGAGGTTATAAGGATGCAAATTATAGTTAGAGGGGAACTTTTCGTGCTTTAATAAGCCTAGAGCCACCCATTTACCACCGCGTCGGGACACAGAGTTATTGGCTCGACGCCCCCGTAAGCCATCCACAATCCGGACGTCCGGCGCGGGAGCCTCAACGCCAACACTACTCTCTACTGCCGTCCTACTCTACACAAAATAATTACTGCACCCAATCGAAGTCCTTACATTAAGTAAATCCCAGCTCGCGCTAGATGCGATTACTGTTGAGTCACGTAGCACATGCAAGCTTCAATGGCTTCTCTCCGGCATGGGAATGTCCGGTGGGAACTAGAATTTGGGATCTAACCCATGTCGTACGGGTCTGGAATAGTAATCTTTGGGTAGATCCAGCCGTAGGGATAGGCTTGTTCGTGGGACTTGGAAGGTATTCAAGCACACAACTTGAAGATATGGGTGGGAGCTGATTATTCAGTGAGGGAGGGCAGATACAATGAAGACGGTGGAAATGGGATAGTATATAGCCTATCCCATCCGTATTGCTCGCAGGTGAAGGCGTCTTATGGGTCTAACGTCGCTCAAGTAAAACCCCTATTTGTCTTTTTGCCCAGTATGCGCTACGATCAACGTGAGTGTAATATGGAAACCGTACTACGGAGAGAGAAACCGGATATTATCCCCGGCACCGATGTTATTTTCACCGGCCAGGATGCCGGCGAAGCGAATGCCAGCGAGGTCGTACTTATCCCTCAGCCGACGTCGAGCTCAGATGATCCACTTGTAAGTTACAATACCCAATTCATGCCATACCTACCCGGTAACATTTTTTTTTTAAAAAAAAGCCCCTACTAACTCGGTACATAGAACTGGAGTCCAACATGGAAATCCATCATCATCTTCAACCAGTTCGTCTTTGTCTTCGTGAGCATCATGACGCCAATGGCCATCGCGCCTATGACGCTCATCTTCGAGGCCGAGTTCGACAAGACCCTTCCCGAAGTCAACATGTTGTTCGGCGCGGCCGCCATCACCCTCGGCTACGCCAACTTTCTTATTGTACCTGCTGCCAATGTGTTCGGGCGCCGTCCGGTCGTCCTGGTCTGTAGTCTCATCTGCATTCTTGCTAATATCTGGCAAGGGCTGGTTACTAGTTACCCGAGTTTCCTGGGCGCACGCGTTATTTCGGGGCTGGGTGCTGCGGCGAATGAGAGTATTATGCCGATGGTTGTTGCGGATATGCTGTTTCAGCATCAGAGGGGGAGTAGCATGGCGCTGTACTTGTAAGTAGAATTTGTTGCTTGTATAATAATAAGTATAACTATGAATATATGCTTACGATTTTACCCCTAGTTGGGCGTATTTCCTAGGCCTTTTTATCGGGCCTATCATTTCAGGGGCAATCGCTTCGCAGATCTCATGGAGATGGTTTGTAAGTGCTGCAACCCCTATTTTTATAGAAGTATGTTCGAGCTTCGACTAACCCCTGAATCAATCAGTTCTGGGTCTGTACTATCTTGCAGAGTGTAAGTTCTTCTTCCAATCTATAATATTTAGAAGAGCCCAAGGCTAGGCAACTGTTATAGATCTAACATAAGCATAAGGCGAGTCTCATCTTTCTCCTGCTCGCCCACCCGGAAACCAAGTACGAACGGCCCGTACCCCGTGCGCCGACTACCGCCACAGAGGTTAGGGTCTCCAACGCTACGGGCAAGCCCAACGATGGCATGGTCTCCAGCTCCAGCTCCGAAGCACAGATGCAGCCCTTCGCCCTCACAGCCGCCGACCACAACGCCATCGGCCGTCCCTCCCGTGCACAGTTCTCTCTTCTACCTCTCCGGAGACGTCTCCGCTACGGACACGGATACGAACAACACAGCCAGAACCTCAGCGCCGTACTAGCGCGGGATGTCATCTCGCCTATCAAGATTCTCTTCTGCTACCCGATTGTGCTCTGGGCGTCTTTGTCTATGGGCTTCGCAGCAAACTCGCTGTTAGCGCTAAACCTGACGCAGACGCAGGTGTTCGGCGCGCCTCCGTATTTCTTCACCCCAGACCAGATCGGCTATGTTAACTTTGCATTTGTAGTGGGTGCCATTATTGCCTTGGTCACGGCGGGTCCGTTGTCTGATTGGATTGCGCTGAGGCGCGCAAGGGCCAACGGGGGTGTATTGGAGGCGGAGATGAGGCTGCCGGCATTGGTGCCGTATATCTGCGCCAATCTCGTGGGCATGGTGGTTACGGCTGTGGGGTACGAGCGATCTTGGTCGTGGGAGGTTATCGTTGTGGTTGGGTACTCGCTTGTCGGGCTGCAGGTCGTGGGGATCCCGGCCATTTCGATCGCATATGCGGTGGATTCGGTAAGCATATTCCTTTCTTTTCAGCTTAACTCCGTACCCCCTTTTGCTTTTTATCCGTGGCATGACATACGTTACAGATTTAGACTGCTAGTGATGAGATTTGCTTTTTATAAGCTGAACTGGAAGATATTGCTAACATCATGTCACATATAGTACAAAACACTCCCTGGTGAGATTATGATCGCTGCCACTATCGTGAAGAATACCTTCGGAGTAAGTAGTCATTACTTAGATCTTCCCTCCCCCTCTCCGTCCCATCCCGATACTAATTATTTCATAGTTCGGCATGATTTTCTACTACAACGATTGGGCATCACGATCAGGGTTCATTCCTCCTGTACTACTACTAATGGCCCTCACATGTGGCTTCTCGATCCTTGGCCTGATTGTCTTCATCCCTTGGGGAAAGCAATTCCGCCGCTGGACTAAGGATTCTAAGTTACATTCCCTATAGAGGAGTAGGAAAGGGGTGTGGTGATTTACTAAGAGGTAGGTATACTCTGGATCGCAGTGCGGTCTCGGTATAAAGGTTCTTTGTTCATATTTGTCAATATTACTTAGATAAGTAACTGCGTTGAAGGGCTTCACAATAAGGGCTAACACATGGCCATACGTAACTAATAACTAAACGTTATATACATTCAATTTCTATACTATATACAAGAAATTTTACTATTTACCAATATGATGCAGACCAAGATCGCTACACATATACAAGGTAGAAAAACTATACACAAAACTGCCGATTTCAATATTTACACGGCGGTTCACTTCTCCGGCAATAAGCGAATCCGCCACTTACGTAGTCGTCACGTCGTCATAAACACGTCTTCGCCAGCAAAAGCAAACGTGGTGGCGTAGGAAGCACGCGTCGAGGCTCTTACAGACCGATCGATCGTCCGTTGATCGTCAGCTCGGCGCTGTACAACTCACGTGCAGCATTTCCTTGGTTTGCGTTCAGGCGGCCGTGGAATACAACGCTCTTGCCGTTGGGGTCGATATCGAGACCTCCGGGGCCAAAGACACCGCGGTTATCAACGGTGCGGATGAGGATGCCACGGTTGGTGTAGCTACCGTCGATTGTACTGGAGAAGGCGTATTCGACGTCGTAGTCATCGCTAGAGTAGCAGTGGGCGCTATAGAATAAGACGTAGTTGCCGTCGGCAATCTTATACAGAGCAGGGGCCTCAACTACGCCGTTGTTGGAGGCACCCTCGTTGTCTAGGATCGTCTTCGGGCTGTCGAGTAGCGTTAGAGCGTCTCGTGCTACACGCTGGATCTTAATCGGTGTCGACCGGTAGGAACCGGAAGGCGTTCCGCCTTGGCATGTAGTTGCGCCACCGAGGCTGTTTCCGTCAACCTTCCACAAGATCCATCGGTTCGCCCCATCATCGTAACCCGACGCATCAATCACACCTCCATTAGCACCGTCGCAGATTAGCGGTTGACTCTGTGGCGTAAAGGGTCCCAACGCCGAGCTTGAGGTTGCAGCACCGATACAGTGATTACCACCGTTCTGGCGGGCAGTGTAGTACATAACATACACACCAGCATCCTAGAGCCGTTATTAGTTCAAGCCTCTGGGATATTTCTATATGCTACGGCATCTATTAGGAAACTTACGTTCTTCTGCACATCAGGGGCCCAAATTCCCTGGTCGTTAGGGTCGACCCAAGATCCAGGGTTCGGCAAAGCGTCATTACCGGTAAGTGACCAGGACCAAGTATCAGATGATGTGGCGACGGGAATCTTCTTGCCGTTCGATGAAGTTCCGTAGGCCTTCCACGAACCGTCGCCCCAGATGATACTCGGATCGGGAAAATCAACCCCCATGAACGGGCCAGCTAGGCGGCGACCTTGTAAGCCGCCGCCGTTGGCCATATCGATCTTAGTCAAGTTGGTCAGACCAAGAGTTGGTAGTTCAGCTGCAGCTCGGGCAGCATTGTTGGACGGAAGGCCGGCAACTAGGCCGGCGCCGAATAGAAGGAGGAAGTGCTTCATGGCTAACTGTCGATCGAAGCTAACTGGGCGGAATGAGGCTACGTATCTGACGCACGAGTTTATCCTCACGAAGAGGCCTTGCTTGTTTAGTGGCCATGATGGCTAGTATTTATAAAATCCAAGCAGGAGAATAGTTCCGGTATTATTCGGTCCTTCTCAGTATTCGTCACGAAGCGACGGAGCTGTGGAAACGAATACGTTGTTGCGCAAATAACAATGTAGCTAAACTAGGAGAGAGCCAGTAATAGAGCCAGCTCCTTTGTCTAGCTGTCTCGGTGGCTCCGGGGGTAGCTCTCCTAACATCCTGATGGAACAATGGGAATAATTTCTAGCGAGGATAGTTTTCCAGGCGAGTTGAAACACTGCAAGGGACCGACTGCACCAATAAACGAGAAACACGCCTTAACCCTCTAGAGGGATATAGTCGAGCAAACCCCATCACGGGGTGCAGAGTCGGGCGATGCCCCAACGGGAAGGAAATGGGAATAGAATGCGTCGACGAAGCCATCTGGAGCGTCTATCCAATAAGAAGGCAGAGAATCCTGCATAAGCCGGGATCTTTTGCATCGCTTGGGTGGCAATGGTGCGGTTTCTAAGGGGGGCTATAAACAAGATCTTGATGCACCAATGCCTGAAGCCCTGCTAGTAACATTGCGGTATAGATCTCGCTAAGCCATTCCCATCAACTCCAGATGGATTCTTTTCAAAATTCCATGCCAAGGGCCAAGCTTCAGCCGTAAGGAACAACGTTACATGAGTCCTAATTCGTCCTATAAGATCAGATTATTCTTATAAAAAAAGGTTCACCTGCCTAATTCAACCTTCTCTGGATCATTAGTCTATCCTGCTGTGATTTAGCATTTGATATTTCTGGCAAAAATCCTGGTATGCCATATATGCGTAGGGTTGCTCGTATGGCAACTCGTAGGGCAGCTGATCGTCGGTACAAGACCCCAGGACTCCAGCGTGGGTGACATGGGTCGCGACACTAAGGTCGTTAATGATCAACACTGATCATCACTGATCATCACTTTTCCCTGGATATCTGGATAAGGGTTTTTTGAGCTTAAATTGACAACGTTGGCAGTGAGGTTGATTGAAATACTGTTATATTATATACCTAGGTACCTAGTAATTAACAAATCGGAATCCCAGTTTTTGACAATTTCAATCTTAAACCTCTTCAAGATTCTTCGAGATGGACTGGTTACATCCTAAGCAGGTCCGGTATTATATTTGACGCGTAATTAATTGATAGTAAACTGCTGCCTGGCACGCTATGCCACGCCTTGCAGCTTGCAGCTTAATGAGCCCACACGCAATCAGACCCGAGCGGACCGGATTCCAGGCCGTATATGTCACCGTAGATATACCGACGATCCATGATCAATATCCAATTATATTACTTGAAATTTCGGCCATTGCAGGAGGCTAGTACGGTCATTACGTTGTCAATAGAGTCCACCTCAGTTACATGCGAATTAGAAGTGCCCAGCAACGGCTACCCCTTGCCGAGATCCATAACTCGAAATAGATTATCCTCAGCCCCGTCGGTATAGACCTAGTCCCATAATTTCTCCGCAATTAGAGACTCACTTATGACCAACTGGTCTGAAAAGCATACCGAGATGCCCAGCTACATGAGACACTTTTCAACTCATTAAATTCAACGATAGTCTTCTATTTTTCGCTATCAACTCAAGACTCGGACTTGAGAGTAGAGTTCCCTACTTGCTTTATTCTTTGCAATAGACAGTGCTGTCCCCATTTTCTTCTGAATTTCTCCGGAATGAAATTTAAGTCTGGGATCCATAAGACTCTCGCAAGGAGATGTGTATTTGCCGCATCAAGGAACGCTTCGCATTTAACGATGTCCCAGTTCTCTTTGTCTGCGATGTAATCCGGCTCATTTGGCGGTAGGGGGTGATCATGTTCCGGGTATTGCGTGTCGACCAAGAAATCGCACGATTTGATGTCCACGTACTTGCCAATATCCTCTTCGTTGCGATCATTCATGCCGCTCGCAGGTAACCAGGTACCGCTCCAGAAGCCAAATCCAATTCGTGCTTCAGAGAACTCTCCAGGTAGCAATCCTCGGAACTCTGACCGAATAAATTTCGCATGCATATCCCGAGGTAAAAAGTAAGAGCTCGGGAACCGATACCATTCCTTACCGTAACACACATAATCTCCACGTCCACCTAGACCTTTTTGACCAATCATCCCAGCCCCAAGCGGTTCGTAGAGCTTCAAAGGTGCAGAGTAGGCAGCATATATTCCGATAATGCGTGTAAGACCTAGGCCAAGCGATAAGAATAACACGCCCACAACAGTGAAAAGCTTCAAGCGCGCTGGGATCTTTCCGACGAGGGTTTTGGGGTCGGGATTGCCAAAGGCCGACAAGATAATGTGAAACCCTAAGGCAGCATTGAGAGCGATAAAGGGATACATAGGATACATAAACCGCTCCTCTTTATGTGGTTGCATAGAGAAAATACTAAGCCACATGTAAAAGGGGGAGAGGAATACAACCGTACGCATCCCTGTCCCAAAGCCATGCTGCTTTGAAGAAACAACCTTTTGGATAAGGAACAGAGGTAAAGATAGTAAGGCTAGAATAAACCAGATGTTGAAGTTTATGGTAAGATTTCTGAAATAGAAGGTCCATGGTTCTGTTCCGTAGAGGTTCGGTCCTCCCGTAGAAGAGAATATGTTGTACTTCACGATGTTCCAAGAGACAACCTCAATTTTCTTATAGAAGAAAGTATTGATGGCTGTGTCACCGACCTGTACTGGGTGAGAATTAGGTATATAACTTGAACTAGAATTACTTACAAGAAGCACTAAGGCGGCAACTACACCTCTACCGACACGGAGGAGTGCATCGTAAAGGCTCTGGGGATAGTTTAGGACCGCAAAGATAGCCTCTTCGATCAAGAAAGGGGCACACAGAGCTGAAGCGAAAGGCCATCCCAGAATGCCCCCAACGGCAAACCACCATATGCCCCATGACGTCTTAAGCCCTCCCCTCCAGTTCATGAATGCAACAGTTCCAAGCATGGACGTGTACATGGCGAAGCTAGAGGGTAAATAGGCTGTACTGGCGTGGAAGTTTCCAGGAGACATAACCGTCGCGATAAGAAAGAAGAGGCCAATCCTAGGGTTCAGGGTGAAGCTGATGACACGGTATAGGAGAACTTGGCATAATGAGCAAACAAATGCCAAGACATAACGAACGAAGTAAAACTCGGAGAGCTATATGAATGAGCATAAGATCGTCGAAGAACAAGGGGCATAGAAAGTGGTACTTGCCTTTGTAGTTTGGGGTAATAATCTTCTGATATTACTAACTATAGCGTGCAAGCCGATATAAGACCAGCTTCGGATGGCATATTCTGGTGAATACTCCCAAGTTTGTAACCCGTAGCCATGAGAGATGTAATGGGTTGGTTCCCAATAATTGAAGGTCTCATCGCAATCTTGGATGGGCGCAAATAAAGCAGATATGAGATTTACAATTAGGAAGACGTAAAGTGCCTTTATGGGTTCTATCATGAATATAGATGATCCTCTATGTTACATCGTTAGTGGTTTTCACTCTTTTGGGACGGGCTCACATACTTCTTTTTAGCATGTTGTGCAGCTGGATGAACAAATTCCTGCTGCTGCTGCTGCGACTGAACTCCTGTAGGGGGCATATTTACTAAGTCTGCGTCGTGCAGCTCATGCAATGCAACTCACGCAACCGAAGAGTAATTCGATGTTGGGGGAAGTTCTGGTTATAAAACTCAGCTAAGAACATAAGCTTTAAATCTGTCCCAAATGTTGAAAGTTGGGATCCAATTGAAAATGACGTTGCTTCAGCGCTAGTGCTACCTAGCGAGCAAACCCTATCCCTGCTATCGGATAATTACATGTGTGGAGGATTCTAAGCCGATTGGCCAATGGAAAATGCTACTCCTAAGATATTCCGGACCCATTTTATTTTTCTAGAACTGGGGCTTGCAGAAGCTTTCATCCAAGTTGAATCCATACAGATTTCATCCAATATCAAACACGGTTGACTGCATTACCGGAACTTTATCAAAACACGTATCGGTTCGTATTTTTTTCTCGTGAATTTTATGCTTTGTATAATTGAGTTATTCAAGCAGTTGTCATTGAAATATTCGTGACTATCTAATTTGTGACAACAAATTTCTTTCTTTAAGGCGATTTACGCCATCTCAACTTGGTTGGTTATTTTCTAGTGTAACCATTATCTTCAACTCAAACTTTCATAGAACTTTTCATCTCAATAGCAACTAACAATGCTATAGTTCCTGCAAAAATGTCCGGGAATTTTGAAATTCCTGGCCTATCCATCTCCAGGGTACCAGATGATTCTCAAACCCAATTAAACATCCCTAATGAAGTTCAGCCTGTGACTTCTCAACCTGCCACTGAGATGGATATCGATGTTCCTGCTCCTTCAGAGAGTACACCACTACCTCAAATCAGCGAAGCACAGAATGAGAAGCCGGAGAAGTCAGAGAAGCCAGAGACTTCTGATGTTACTATCAAAGATGCACCACCCAGCCCTCCTTCTTTAACTTCAGCATTGGAGGCTTTACTTGGCGGTCTAGACGCCCCACCACAGGATCCGAATGTGCCCTCTACGCAACCCAATGGCACAGAGCAGAATGTACAGCCCCAAGAGCAAGATGAGCAAGGTGAACCTGAGTGGGAAGAGGATTCTTCTCCCTACGAATCTTCGTCCGAATCGAGCAGTTCAGATGATTCGGATGACGAGTCTGAGGATGGGAAAAATTATGAGTTACTAGGCCCCGAGGAGACAGCCCGCATTCTTATGGAAATGGAGGGTGGCTCGGACGATGAAGGCGAGGGGAAGGCGAAAGGGAATGGTTCGGGTGCACAGGTCCGCACGAAGAATGAATTGCCCGAAGAAGTAGTTCCTAAGCCTGATGTCGTTATAACACCGGATATGACTATCACTGAACTTGGCGTAATTGAGCACATCGTTGAGAATACGGCTGTAGTCAAGGCGATCACGACGGGAGAGTATCAAGTGCTCGACAGCGGCTCAGTTCTCTGCACGGAAGACCGCACTGTTATCGCGGCCGTAGCCGATTTAATTGGCAACGTGAGGCAGCCACGCTATACTGCAAGGTTTACGAACGAAGAAGAAATTAAATCTTATGGCCTAGAGATAGGGGCCAAGATATTCTACCCACCTTCGCACGCGGTATATGTCTTCACTCAACCACTTCGGGAGCAAAAGGGCACGGATGCCAGCAATTGGCATGATGAAGAGGCTGGTGATGAAGAAATTGAGTTCTCGGACGACGAAAAAGAGGCCGAACATAAGAGGCAGCTGAAGGCTAAAAAGAAAGGAGGCCGCGGTGGCAGGGGCGGCGTAGGAGGGCGAGGAGGTCAGACCGAGGCCTCGTCCCTTCCTCCAATGACTGGCTTACAGTATGATGACGAGGACGAGGATGGCCCCTATCGAAAACTTGCAAGGCCGGCGAACTTTGCGCAGGGCCAATCTAACCCTTCGGAATCCGGATATTCAAATCATCACGCCAACAATAACGGCTCATTTAGAGGTGGTCGAGGTAGAGGCCAACGAGGTCACGGACATGGCCGTGGGGGGAGGGGCAATCGTGGAGATTCTCGAGGTGGGCATTCCTTACCACCTAGGCCACCGCGAGGACAAGACTATCAGCCACAAACCCAGCAATACAGCTATCCGCCAGCTCCGCCTCCGGTTACCAACCCAGCATATCCTCCGCAATCGCTACCATTCTATGGCACACCGAACAGTCATCAGCAGCCCAATACGCAGTTTCAATTCCCTTGGCCCCAGAACGTTCCACAAGGCTTCGTTCCACCTCCACCGCCACAGTTTACCGGGCAGCAACCCAGCGCGTACTACAGCCCCGAGTTCTTTGCTGCTCTGCAAAGTCAGATGCAGGGACAATCCAACCAGCAAAACGGCCAGTGGTCCGGACATGGTGGTGCTGGATAGAATCCTAACGCTATGAACGGCAATATGGGCTCACTTCTCCCCCATGCCTATCCGTCTCACGAATGGAATAATTATACTAATGGATCCGCTGCTTCAAACGTTAGTGGACTTCCATAATCTAATGATGGTCGGGTCTATGCTAATAATTTCATAGACACAGTCTATAGGGTGGCGTTCCGACCAGCAGCCCAGCCAGCCGGCAGAGCAAGGTAGATAGAGTAAATACGGAGGCAGGTGTACAAGATCCCCGGGGAAAGACTGACAGAAAAGCCCGAAAGGGCAGAAAAGGCAAAGAGGGCAAAAAAGATTAACGAGGTCTCTCCATGTAGGATGTGAGTCACGTTGCTCACCGAGCCACTTCTTATACAAGATATATCTTATTACTGAGGTATTACTGGTACACTGATAATAGTTCCAGTGTCTATACTGACATCTGAAATAATATGACAATCATGGAGGGTTGAGGGATATTGTCATCAAAGTCAAGTCTTGAGTTAATAGGAATATCAAGGCCTATTGATAATAATCTAATATAGACAAGTTGACTTTCACCGTTCCGAATGCTGCTTACTTGTGTACAGGTATATATCACATACGATTCTTTTAACATCTACTCAATACCTCACTATAGCGAAATTGTGAACATGTTTCAATATCATCTTTACCTGAGCATACTTTTCTATATATCGTAATTTTATCTTTTACATCATTCTACTATTAATCATGATGTAGCGAGTCGGCTTGAAGACCCACCACATGCGCTCAGGTAAGCTATGATGCAGACTCGACATTGGGTTAGCTACAGACGAAGAGCCACAAAGTAGACTACGGGTATACATATGAAACCTTTAGGTACCTCTTAAGGCTGTCTACGATGTCTCGGTATACTTTTAGGGTAAGGCTTTCGGTTCCACCGATATTCATCTCGGACATCTTGGATCTTGGTATACACTAGAAGATAAGCTCGAAACTTTGCGGTCCATGTCCGCTTGAGTGAAACTAGAAAGAAGAAAACGAGCGCCATCATTTCTAGCCACCCGTTGGTGCAGAAACGCCACCGAGTCTTTCGCCATTCAGCGACGCGGTCACGTTGGTACTAACGACTTCGTTATGCATGAAGTCTCGCTCACCTACCAAAAAGAGAAGCTTCCCCGATGTCTGTCATTTTATTTACAATTTACATGTAGCTTGCTGATCTTGGTTGGTATCAGGGAAGTAGACTCGTAGGAAACATGAACGACCTCCGGATCAAGACTAGAAGATTGTTTAGTTAGTCTGATCGTAACATAGAACATATGTCTAAAACTCGATGTTCATCTCTTCTCGGCTCGTAACAGTATTGAGAACCCGAGGAAGCAAGGAGCATGCCTTACGTATACAATAACGCAATCGACCGAAAGCTGTAAGTTTTAGGGCTAGTAAGGCATACCGCCTTATACCGCAGATCCAGTCTAGGTAATCGAACTAGCCTTACATACCTAGTACACACAATATCAATCGTGGGGTAGATTTGCTGTCCATTACAACATACATACGCTGAAAGCACAGGCAAGATTTCATTTCTTACCCAACGGTGTTATTTAAGATAGGTAAGACCCACGATGTTACAATGTGACGACAGCTGAATATCTATTTATACATGGGCATTGAAAGTTTGGACATTTTCATGATGTGACCAACGGAGGAACCAGTCTGTTCGTCTGCTTAGTGTACATAACGGGTCGCAATGATGATCCTCCACACGCACACACTAAGTCATATCGATTGGAACAAAATAGGGATCGTCCTCTAAGCTAGATAAAATGACAAGGATGGTAGGGTCCGATAATGTGAGGGGTGGTAAGAAATTTGCGATGGCGGACCGACGGACGGAGTTAGAAAACAGTCAACGAGGTCGGATGTTTCACAAGCCAAAATGAATTTCAACAGTGTTTATTTCGTAATGCGGGAGATTCGGATTCGAGAACAAAGAATAGAAAGAAGATATTTAAATGAAAAGAGGGACATCAACTGCAAGATACCGGGAGGATCCTGGGAATAGATGATAAAAAACTGGTAGCACCGGTTAGAAAAAAAGATCCCTCACCACCACGCGGGAAGAAAACGTGATATCGGCACAAACACAGACCATAGAGTAACATGGAAAGGAAAAAGACGTCATATCGGGTTCCACGGCAGAAAATATCGTGGGCTTATTGGGGGTGATTCGTCTTAATCATCAGATGGATGTTCGCGTGGATCCACATTCCAAATAAGGATATTGATAGACCTGATAGACCCGCTCTGCTAGTGTATGTAGGTAAGTATCTAGGTACTTACGGCAGGCTACTTCCCTCGGTGCTTTCTACCGATGCTGATGTCCGGCGAGGTACATACATAGATACACGCCTCTTACGTGCATAATATAAAGGATTGAAAGTTGATGAGCAAATTCCGATCGAGGCACGGTCGGTATTCCTTTCCGTATGGATACCTAATATATAAAATTCGTACTTGAGTAGTCGTACTTCGTTACGAACACATCAATTCAAACAACTGCATATGCGTCTATCAATTGTTTTACTATAAGGTAGCTTCTGAATTTCAAGGAGCATTTCGTAGAAACCTCTAGCTGAATTAAAGGGTCGCGTACGTACAGTACGCCCCTTGTAATAATATTAGCTTATTAGACGTGCACGTTATAAAGCATAGGTTATCTAACGTTATAGCCAAGATTACATAACATATTTAATATAAAAAATAATATGACCTAAATTGGTAAAATTGTACCATAAACAAACCATAAGTATTACATAAACCTATTTTTAATATATAAATATTTATTTAAAATAATATTAAAATAACGTTAAATAAAATTAATTTATAATTAAATATTATAATAAAAAAAAATTTTTTTTTAAGTTTTTTTTACTATTAATACTTTTATTATTTTTAATAAATTACGCTATTTTTAATTATATTTTTAATTTTATTTAATTAAAATAATTTTTTTTTTTATTTTACAATATTTTATTATTTATTTAAGTTTTAATTATGTTAATTTAATTTTAAATTTAATATTTTAATTAATAAAATTTTTTTTTTAATATTTCCTTTAATTTCGTTAATTTAAAAACGTTATTTTTTTAATAAATTTAATTTTTATAATTATAAATAACTATTATTATATAATATTTTTATATGTTATTATTAATTATTATAATAAATTAAAATTACATTAATTTACGATTATTTTTTTAAAAAAATTATTAACGTTATTACTTTTAATAAAGAATTTATTTTAATAATTATTTTAAAAGTTATAAACAATTAAAAAATTAACAATTTATAAAATATTTTTACCAACATATTTTTTTAATATAACTTTTTTAACCATGATTTTAATTAAATATAAATAATAAACTTTATTATTAACACTTTCAAACCTTTTATAATATTAATAAATCTTTATTTATTTTTATTTATATAAAAACAATATTTTAAAATTAACCCTTTATTATTAAATTTTAATAACCACTTTATTTAAAACAATAATAATTAATAATAACTTTATATTATTAATAATATAACGTTTAAAAAACATTTTTAAATTAAAACCTTATATTTTAACGTTATTATAAACTATAATAAAATAGCCAAAACTATTAAAATTATAAAACGTTAAATTTAATATGTTATTATAACTTTTTTAAAGCTTTATTTTTTAACCCGTAATTATTTAACAATTTTTAATTAAATTACATATAATATTATCGTTAAATATTACATAAAAATCTTACCTTTTTGTTATAATATACCTTAATTATAACTTAATTAATATATACCCAATTTTATTAACTACAAATAATAAATTATAATTAACGCCTTAATTAAAATAAAATTTTTATAAATTTTACAATTAATAAAAATAATTTTTATAATTAAATAACATTAAATAAAACTTAAATTTACGTTGAAATAAAATTATTTAATTAAAGATAAATAATAAAAATAGTTATAATTTAACAGAATTTAAATTAATAAAATAAAAATTATAAAACAATTTATTACATTAATATTTAAAAAAAACTTTAATTTATATATAAAATTACAATATTAACATTACAATTAAATATTTTAAACCTTATTTATAAAAACCATAAAAAAACCTTATTTAATATAAAATAAACGTTAAAAAATAATTAAATCATTATTATATTAAAAATATATCCTTTTATTAATCCTTAAATTTACAAATTAAAATCTTAATATTTATTTACAATACGATAATACATTTACCCACGCATTAATAAACATAAAATAATAAATTAAAAACTATAAATTAAATAATAAATATATTAAATTTTTCTTTAAAAGCTTTAATTTTAACCTTATTAAATATATTTAACTATAAATAAAAAATTAAATTAAACGTTAACATTAAAAATATACTTAATTATAACTATTTAAAATAATTACAAAAACTTAAAAAGTTATATCAACCGAATTTTTACTTAAATTATATAATAATATACCTTATCATTTAAAACTTATTATATTAAAAAACAAAGGTATAACAAAATATTAAATATATAAATAAATAATGTTAATTTATATTTATTTTTATATATAAATTTATTTTTATTTAATTAAAAATAATTTATAATATAAAAATTTATTATATAACCTTTTTTAATTATATTATTAATTTTAAAATTTAATATTAAAAGCTTATAGCTAAATTTAATAACCAACGTTTTACCATATATTAAAAACCTTAAAATATATTGTAAAATGTACTTATTTTGTGAATAAAAGTATATAATAATAAAGAAGTTATAATGGTTGGTTTAAATTTTATTATATTAATGGAGTTATATATAAATATTAAATTTTTATAAATTTTAATTATATATATAATAATATATATAAATATTATTATATTTTATATTTTTTTATAATAATATTTTTTTATTATTAATAAAATTAAATATTAATTAAATTATTATAAATTTTTTTTT